AATAAATAGCCGAAATCCAACACATGACGGTTTGAAGACCAAATAAACACTTTTTGCTATATTATGCTATATTAGCATTGTGATGCTTGTATTAAAACATGCGCTGTATGAACACTTTATACTCAAATATTTTCATGATTTATCCCACATACCCCGAAACACGAGTAGCCATTTGGCAGTCTCACGCCCGGTGATTTGATGAAATGAACGGAGGGGGAGTAGCTGATTTTCGGTAAATTCAACAAATGTTGAAGATTTATTTTTTCAAGCAAAAGTTTACAATTGAATGGCTACATGAATAGGTGCAGTGCACAGGGAAATATGTTAGGTCTTCTTGGATTTTTTTGAACTGATGGAGTTCTAAGATAAAAGGTCTATTAAAAAAGGCGCAGCGTCACCAACGTGCAAATGCCAATGTTTTTGCTATAAATCAAGCAACAATGGTCTGCACGACATGTAATAAATATATAAGCGACATTTTTATATCACAAAATTCATTGCCGGTTTTTTAAAATAATTTTCCAAATGATAGATAAAAAATAATCGAAAATAATTAAAATTGAACGGAGGGGGGGGGGAGTGAACGGAGGGGGGGAGTAAAATGTCTTTAAGGTGGAAGAAATTTCCACAAATTCGTGTACTTGAAAAATGAATTCACTTACTCAGTTACTTGATGTTACAACTCTGAAAAGTGAAAAATGGGGACATATGGATTTATTGGAACTTTTTATATAACGTATGGTAACATGTTTTACAAAACCCAATAGTTTTGTGATAATTACTTCACCTACAAGTATTTATTACAGGTCGTGGAGACCCCTGTTGGTTGATTTATAGCAAAAACATTGGCATTTGCATGTTGGCAACGCTGCACTTTTTTAATGCCTTTAATAGATCTTTTATTTTAGAACTCCACAGTTAAAAAAAATCCAAAAAGACCTAACATATTCCCCCGTCCACTGCGTCTATTCATTTAGCCATTCAATTGTAAACTTTCTCTTGAAAAAATAAATCTTCAAGATTTGTTGAATTTTCTACCGAAAATCAGCTAGATCTACTCCCCCCTCCGTTCATTTCTTCTGATCACCGAGCGTGATTCTTATTTGAGACTGTATTTAACACCTCCTGTGAAAATTTGAATGAAAAGGGCACAAAACTCTTAGTTTGAGAGGGATTTTCTCTAAACTAACAGTATCGATTGACCTGGAATTTGAAAACAATTATAGAGACTACTTTTCCATGTTTTTCCAACACGGTTACAGTAAGAGAGTTGGCACAATAAGGGAACTTTAGGGTACAATTTCTTCATAATTAGCCTTCTTTAATTCTAGATACCATATACCATATTTTCTTAAATACCATATACCATATTTTTTACACCTCTTATACCATATACGATAAATTTTGCCCCCTCTTATACAATATACAATAAATTTTCAGCCTCTTATACGATATACAATATCTCTATACACCCCCCCCGCTAAATAAAACAATGACACCATCGGAAGTATTCTTCGTTGTCATTGCTTTAATAGTCAGTATACCGAGTTTAATCAATAAAAGATTGTACAAGACCAACAAATTAGGAAACGGGTATTATAGATTTGCTTTTGGACCACTGAACAGATTGACCTAGATAATAGCGATGCGTCTTCTTTGGTCTACTGCTCAGTTGTTTGTGGGTTTTCAATGTAACTCTATAATGTAATTTGAAGATGAATACTTTTATTCAGTTGTTGCATCGATGTTGCAGTTTGTTGTGCGGTAAGATTGGCAGGAAAGTATTGAAAGTCGAATGGAATTGTTTTTTCCAAAATGGCGACTACTCAACTGATCACGTGACCTTCTCTTCCGGAATATTTTCTCACTTTTCAATCATCGTTTTCACCACGCTGTGAATCAATACAATGAAAAAAAAATAGCTGCTATATTAAGACTAATAAGAGATCAATCGTTTCTAATAATTTTTTCTGTACTCTTGTACGGGAATATGAACGAATATATCGTTTGAAAAATAGGTGTGAAAATCCCCATGTTAAACCTATGAGGGAAAACAAGGAAGTATAAATTTGTTCCTCCGCGAACTGCATCATGGGAAATATTTTGACCTTATAAGGAAAGATTTAAGCGTCTCCTCTTTTGAAGAGGGAACAACGATTTCGAGAATTGGTGTACCCAATCATACCATGGGCACATCGCCTATTACGCCAAATACTGTACTGTACTTTGCATATATTTTCTCACATTAAGTGTAATATATGTATTTATTATGCAATATGCATCTCACATTTAGTGCAATATATGTATTTATTGTAACATTTGTCATCGACCATATGCATTTTGCAATTCACATTTAGTGCAATATATGTATTTATTGTAATATTTGACCATGCAACATGTTACTCACATTAAGTGTAATATATGTATTCATTATGCAATATGCATCTCACATTTAGTGCAATATATGTATTTATTGTAACATTTGTCCTCGACCATATGCATTTTGCAATTCACATTTAGTGCAATATATGTATTTATTGTAACACTTGTCTTCGACCATATGCATTTTGCAATTCACATTTAGTGCAATATATGTATTTATTGTAATATTTGACCAAATGGGTGACACTCAGATATAAATGTATAATGTGTCTCATAAGTCGACACCGGCTGGTGATGTTTCCATATCATATCTTATAGACATATTGCTCCCCCCCTCCGTCCCCTCCCCCTCCGTCCCATGCTAGTTATTTTCTATTATTTTTTATACAACGTATGGAAACATATTTTGTAAAGTCATTAAGGTCATTAATTTTATGATGATAATGTCACTTACAAATATTTATTGCAGGTTGTGTAGACCGTTGATGCTTGATTTAAAGCAAAAACATTGACTTTTGCACGTTGGTGGTGTTGCGCCTTTTTTAATAGATCTTATACCTAAGAAGAGAATCAGCTAAAAAAAATTCGTAGAATACGTGACATATTTTACCAATACGTGCGCCTATTCGTTTAGCAATTTAATTATAAACCTTTTCTTGAAAAAATAATTTTTGCAGATTTGTTCATTTTTCTACCAGAAATTGCTTGCTCCCCCCTCCGTCCCATTTTCACGATCACCGGGTGTGATAGAAGACTTCTGTATAAGCAGGCCCGTAGCCAGGGGGGGTTTGGGGGGTTCGGGCGAACTCCCCCCTGGCCAAAATTTCTTTCAAAATCATGCAGTTTTTCACCATTCTGACTATTTTTTGGCCAAATTTGCCAAAGTGAACCCCCCCTAGAATTTTTTGGAAAAGTGAATCCCCCTTGGAAAATTCTGGCTACGGGCCTGATTTAGCTACATGTAAAAACAGGGCTGTGCAAACATTTTCGAAACAAATGCGTGATGTACACACATGTTTTGGACCAAATGCGTGACATATACTGTAATCGCGTGCAAAAACTGAATGAAAAGCATTCGCTTTTTTTCGCCGTTCGGTATTTTACCGTAACGACATTTTATAAAAAACGATTTTTAATAATATCAACAAAATTCGTGATTTGATCATACACGCTAAATTGATGCATGATTTCTATTTTCCAGCAAATGCGTGACAATCACGCCTAATGCGTGAGGGTTGACAGGGCTGTAAATAGTACTCTTCCCCTGGCCTGTCTCCTGAATCTAATCTCATTCATTAAACTACAATATTCAGTTAGCAAGAAAATTCTCAATAATCAGAGGATGTTTTTTACACAGGCTCGAGGACACGTTTAAAATATCGAGTTAAGTAGTCCAACAACATTAGACCTCGTCAGGGGCCTCGTTTCTTATCTGACACGTCTTATGGCCCCAAGTAAGATCAGATAAATAAATAAGCCGGATTAAGTTTAACTTGTTAAACTACGAATTAAGGTGCCATGGTACTTGGTCCAGGAAATGACAAAACTGGAAGTGACAAAACATACTGCATTTTTAGACATTTTTTGAACAAAGATAACAGAGTTCTGTTTTGACCTCCAGTCAATTCAACTAGTTCCACATATCATTTACAGGACCAGGATCAGAATGTACATGGTCCGAATGACCCTTAAAATGATGAAATAACTTTTCAGCCCTCTTAAAATGTGACTGAATAATAGCTAAAAGTAAGTGTATAAGTGCCCCCTCTAGCGCAGAATCCTGGATCCACGTGTGGGTATGTGGTAAAACCTTTGATTCAGAAGTTTATCTTATAGAACTCTCCTTTTTGGCTCCACCTGGGCCCCTCCAACAGCTCAAATCAAAATTTGGTCTGTCGTTGATGTTCTTACTGTGGTTTTCTCAGAGAAATGTTTTGTAAACAATTTTTTCATTTAAAAATTATTTTTCAACAATGCAAACTGTTGAACGTTAAGAGATATTTGTATAGAACATGTACAATTTGATATGAAACAATAAGATGTTTGAACTTGCCTTGTGTAAGAAAAATATGCATCGTTTATTAATGTCAATTATATTTTGTGCTCACAAGATATTGATGAGATTTCCAAAATCTTGAACTTTGACACATATAAGCTCCGCCTTCTTTATGAATAATTACATTCTTCTAACAATACATAACCATACATGACGTAGATCACATGGAAAATATCTGACACACAGTAGCACAAGCATATTCAGTAAGGTTGCTGTGCCCCACCATGTGTCATTCGTTTACTTTTCCACATGTCTTTTGTATAAATAGACTGATGTCATTTCTGAAATTCTGATGTGTTTTTAAAATGATCCAGGTAATATAAATGGCGGCGATACCATCATGTACCATAGAAACAATTTTGTCACTCTTCAGGGGCATAACCAGGATTTACCAAGGGGGTTCTATTTTTCCCTGGCCAGGAGTTCGTTTTATAATGAAATAGGGGTTCGTGGTGAAGGCGGGGTGGGGGAGATTTGCAGGAGTCCCACAAACCTCCTCGCTATGCCCATTCTCTACCAAATTGGATGCAAATTTCTCATTCTAATACCTTTAATGTTCCAGGTGACGTAGATGATGGAGATACTGTCATGGATTATATGGAACAGGAGAGGGACAGAGGAATCACAATCACATCAGCTGCCATTACATTATTCTGGAAAAAACACAAGATAAATCTGATTGATACACCTGGTAAGTCTCATATAGGGGGAAGGTCATGGTCACTGTCAGAAGGAATTTTTTTATAATTGCCAGAGATTCAATATGGAACAGAGAACGAGATTTCCCGAATTTGAGAGATAAAACTCTCATCTTCGATGAACAATTTTATAAACTGGAATCAATTGCCATAAAGATTGATCTTAGAATGTTTTCTGCTGATTTCTGAATATTCTCATAAAGTTTGGATAGTGTCACTGAAATAGAATCACCGAAGTTTAGAAATGATGATGTTCAATGAAATAAACAGAGTCATCTGTCCACAATTTCAAATTATACTTTGCACCTGCACAACTTTTAGCAAACATCTGTGCTTGTGATTGTTCATATGATCACATATCCTGCAAATTGATGGGATGGACTGATGTCGAAATGCCTATAATTAATCAGTGTCAAATATTAATCTTGAAATAACAGATAGGAGACAAGTATGGCTTGCCAAACCAGACATGTGGTTGCATTTAGGTTTATTATGTGACGTTTTCTTGAATTAAAATCACGTTTTTATATTTCAGGGCATGTTGATTTCACAGTTGAGGTTGAAAGAGCTCTCAGAGTATTAGATGGAGCTGTGGCAGTTATAGATGGCTCTGCTGGTAATAGTATTACTTTCTTTATTTGGGCAACAGGAAAACTATTATTGATCTAAAACAATGATTTCACAGAGCCCATTGTAACATATATCCCCAAGAATGTTTCATCATTCGGCATTCCCTTGAATTTTTCACCCATCACAGAGAATGTTTCTCCCATTGCCATGCATATTGTGAAATACTTTTGAGATATTTCAGATATAGCTCACTTCAAACCATAGGTGTTTGGTCGATATAAAGATGGCAGCACAAGAAATCCTATTAATCTTTAGAATTATAAATAAACACAGATTGAATAACCATTGCCATCTTTTTCTAAAAGTTATTTCGTAGATTTATACGGGATGATCCAGAATGACAATAATATTCTCACCTCCCATGTTGGAGATTCTAGATTGTGAAGAGCTGAAATTCCGGAAACAGATTTTTTCGCCATTGAAATATACAGGGTCCAATTTTGAACGCATCATTTCAGCTTTATTTGACATTCCTCTTCACGCATATTTGCACAATTGATAAAAATATTGGTTCCTATGACAATCTGCAAAGCGTTTTCACGAATATTTTTCGAAATTGACAATAATCATGAAATTTTCTACTGTGACGTCACTGACTTAGTTCCCGCAGCTTAGACCCGATGACTCAATATAAAACAAGAAGCAATTTCTCATGTACATAACGTGAGCTTGATTTCATATTTATATATGTTGACTTATATCAATTGTGAGGGTTTTAACTTGATATTAGTATGACCTTTATCGTCCCGACAATATGCAAAAACATGGTTTTAAGGTTGGGACAATTCAGTTTAATCAACAGACAATTAAAATTTGTCCCACTTGGAGTGATGCATTGTGGGAGATGTTTATGTTTTCGTTTACCGCATATTAGTCTATTGGGTTGCTAAGTTTCAATCATATTTTAAGTTTACTGCATGCTATAATTTGTGTGAAATTTGTTTTGTTCTAGTGATCTCTGTAAATAATGGCATAGATATTTACATGGGCTTTCTCTTAAAAGTCCATGACATTTATGAGTCAGAAAGTTACAATTGAGCTCATGAAATTTCTAATTATTAATTAAAGTGTCATTGAAGCAAAACTTCCTTGTTTAGAATATATTTGGGAGTGGAGTACACAAGGGCTTGATGCAGGACTATCTTGTATAATGTGTCTGTGAGAGGGGTACATAAGGGCTTGATGGGAGACTATCTTGTATAATGTGTCATGAGAGGGATACACAAGGGCTTGATGCAAGACTATCTTGTATAATGTGTCTGTGAGAGGGATACATAAGGGCTTCATGGGAGACTATCTTGAATTATGTGTTTGTGAGAAGGATACACAAGGGCTTGATGGGAGACTATCTTGTATAAAGTGTTTGTGAGAGGGGTACATAAGGGCTTGATGGGAGACTATTTTGTATAATGTGTCTGTGAGAGGGATACATAAGGGCTTGATGCAAGACTATCTTGTATTATGTGTTTGTGAGAGGGATACATAAGGGCTTGTTAGGAGACTATGTTTTTGATAAAGAATGTGTGCATTTTAGTAAGGATTGAAGCAAGACTTCCTTGTTTAGAATATATTTGATAGTGGAGTATATAAGAGTATAATGTGTTTGTGAGAGGGGTACACAAGGGCTTGAGAGTGGCTAGCTTGTGGAGTATACAGGGATTGGTGCAAGACTTCCTTGTTTAGTTGAAATCTTTTTGAGGGTGGAGTACATAAGGGCTTGCTTGCTGCAAGGCTATCTTGTACTATGTGTTGGTGAGAGGGGCACACAAGGGCTTGAGACGAGACTAGCTTGTTTTGTTTAGTGGAGTATATGAGGGATTAGAGCAAGAGCAGCCGGTCAGCAAGATTACCTTTTTTAAAATATATTTGAGAGACCTTCAGACTCAGAGATTGTAATGTTCAATGTTCTATGAGATGCTGAATATTATCTGTCAGCTTAATCAAAATGGGATTTCAAATAGAATTTATCTTTCTATTCATTATTTTTACGCATGAAGTTTTATGTATTTTCTCAATAGTTTAAAATAAATTATGTGACTAGAATGAACTTTCTGGCCCAGGACAACCAGCAACCATTGAAAACATTTACCAATGTAAAACCATTTACAATACCTTACCATAGAAAACAACTTGATGCAACAGTAGATACAGACACCTACATAAAAACTAACATGTGCACTATTAAGAATTTTTAAATGGTAATCGAGGAATACAATTGCTTCATATCTTATTCGATTTCAAATTGCAGGTGTAGAAGCCCAGACTCTCACAGTTTGGAGGCAGGCAGATCGATACAACATTCCTCGAATCATCTACATCAACAAACTTGACAAAACTGGCGCTGATTTAGCCCTTTCTCTTCGATCAGTTCAAAATAAACTAAAGGTTAATCCTCTTGTGCTACATCTTCCCCTCGGCATTGAGAGATCTTTTTATGGAATAATTGACGTCGTTAATATGGACCAGATAGTGTGGGAAATGGGCAATGATTCTGCTGGGTTTACATTTAAAAGGCACAAATTAACATCTGAGTTAGAACATTGGGATATCGCTTTAAAAGCCAGAAGTGATTTGATTGAGGCATTGGCAGATATTGATAATGTAATAGCTGATCTAGTCCTTAGTGATATTGACTTTAATGAAATATCACCCAGAGAACTCCACGAGGCTCTTCGCAGAGTCACAATTGCAAAATCAGGCGTGCCTGTTTTATGCGGTAGCTCTTTGAAAAACAAAGGTGTTCAAATGCTATTAGATGCCATAGTCATGTACCTTCCTTCTCCCAATGAAAGAAAATATGATTTTGTGGAATACTACAAGGATGAACTCTGCGCCCTAGCTTTTAAAATTATCCATGATAAACAAAGGGGTGCATTAACATTCTTAAGGATTTACTCTGGAGCTGTAAGCACGGGATCTTCTATATACAATGTGAATCAGGAATGTTCAGAAAAGTTTAGCAGACTTATTCAAGTCTATGCTGATTCGTATAAAGATGTAACCAGTGTTACAGAAGGAAATATTGTTGCAGTAACTGGCTTAAAGAAGGTGAGTAAAATTATTAATACAGGGCGTCCAGGGTGCACACAATTTTGAGTGAACCTGTATCTAAAAAAAATTAAACCAATTGTTGGGCAAATTGAAATGTTTTGTGACTACTCTGAAACTTATGAAGGAGTCAAAGGTTAAGGGAATGTATTTACTGGTTATAAAGTTATTTAGAGCATGTAAACTCAAATCACTTTCACACTAATTAGAACTAATTTTGGAAGGTGGGTCTTCTCTCAGAATGATTGTTTTTCCATTTTAACTTTTTAACTTATTTTAATGACGATAGCATAAGTAGAATCTAAATCAAGTGAACCCATTTCATTACCACTTTAATAATATTTTACCCTTTCAGGGATTGGGGCATTAAATTTTATTTTGACATGACTTACTGCACATAATACCTCCAATCAAAGGTTGTTTTTAACAACGCAACGCTTCATGATCTTTATAGTTGCCTTTACGAGTCTCTAACGTTGACTGTTGATTGTCACGATAACATAAACAGGTTATAATTTGTATTTCTAACCAAGATACTACCATGAGGCCGACTTTTATAAAACGAGCTATTATCATAATTATTGTATGGATGGTCATACTGATACTCATTTATCAACTGAAGATTCTCAAACTACAACATTATAATGTACCACCAGAAGGGAAAATCAATAAAAGGATTATAGAAAGAGGAACCTTTTGGAACAATCAAACTTTTAAGACTGAACTACGAGAAACATTAAAATCGCGTGAAGGTACAAAAGCTATAAAATATTTAACGCATGTTTTGGATATTACTAACCTTAGAGTTTATGTTTATGAGTTGGACCCAAAGTTTAACCTAGATGCATTAGACTGTCTTAATAAAAGACCAAAAAACTATACACATGGTGCTGGGTGTCATTATGATGAAAATCGTGGCTATGGACGAGCTGATGGAGAATTTGGTAGAGGGGTGAAGATCTTTAAACAGTGTCAGCATGGTATAGAAGTGGTATTTCACAACAAACTTTTGAAGAGTCCATATATGACAGAAAATCCTGATGAAGCAGATTTATTTTTTGTGCCATATTACGCCTCTTTGATCTGTTTCTGCCAAGAGAATGTGAAACATTCAGACACGGCGATATGGGAAGTTCTCAAAGCATCTAGACCTTACATACAGAAGAAACCACATTTCTTTGCCATAGGAGTTCCACAGGTGGATTTATTCTCAAATCCACACTGGACCCCTAACTGTCATTTTTTGAAAAAAAGGCTACAGTCAAATTTTGTGAAGTATGCACATATTGAGTTCAGTCCTCTGTTTAAAGATGGCATTAATGTACCAAGAGAATCATACATTCATTTCAACACAACCGGTGTGAAGTTTCCACGCATCAATAAGGATATTTTAGTCTTCATGGCAGGAAAACCACTTAAAAACTCCCTTCGGAAAATACTGATCAGACAATTAAATGATAAGCGGGGCAAGAATTCAAAGAAAAATGGGACATATTTTGATTGGAACCAAGCAAAAAAGTTTTGTAAGGATTCTGCAGCTAAGGAACTGTCTCAGATTAGGTGCCTACTTAAGTCAGCACAGAGGAGTGTATTTTGCCTTCAGCCTCCCGGGGACACGGCTACCAGGAAATCATTCTTCGATACAATGCTAACAGGGTGTATACCAGTGATATTTACCCATCATCCGACATATTTCTACCCATTCCAAAATCTCATTAAGTATAACTATCCTTTCAATTATGACAACTTTACTGTTTATATCAAAGAGGAGCGTATTACTAAGCAAGGAGAGAACATCATTGATATCTTGTCCAAAATCCCTAGGGATAAGATCAGGAGTATGCAGGAACATTTGAAGGTGATTGCCAAATATTTCCAATATGGCACATATGGAAATGGGGAGGATGCATTCACTATGAGCCTAAGGACAATTCTGACTGAATTCAATATTGAAGGAAAATTTCTAAAGAAACAAACATGAATCAATAGACACATCCTAAGATGTATAAAGAGTTCCATATAGAGGAACCTGAATGTTGATGGAGTGTATTTTGATGAATATCTGGATAGTCCATGACCTTTATTCGCTAAGATCATTCCCAAAGTACAGACATACATATTCCATAGCAGGCCCGTAGCCAGGATTTGCCAAGGGGGGGTTCAGTTTTCAGAAATTTCCAGGGGGGTTCACATTTGACAATTTTGGCCCAAATATGGCTAAAATCACAAGAGAAGTGCTTAAAATGGTGAAAAACTGCATGACTTTGAAAGAATTTTTGGCCAGGGGGGGTTCGCCCGAACCCCCCCTGGCTACGGGCCTGCATAGACGAAAAGTAATGTATTTGGAAACACAATAATTAAAGGCACCCGGTGCTATAAAGACAATAAAATTAGTAAAAGTTAAAGGAATATTCCTTGCCAAACCATCTCTCTCCTCATATGGTAGCTATAACCATATATATGCTTGCCATGTTTAGCAAAACACGCAAAAATGTTTTGATATGGTCAAATTTGATCACTTAGAAATGTGATGCTCAATTCCAGTAAGCTGCCATCTTTTAAAATTTCACACAGGAAGTGATGTCATCGACTCTCAACTTTGCATATAGCATTAGGTGAGGAGCTATTAAGAATTACAAAACCAGCTAAATATTCTTTTTCAACTTTGTATCTTATTTAATCCTTCTGAAAATCTCTTCTTTTATTCTAAGTTGACAAGCCCTGAAAATATTTTTGCACAGAAAGTAATGATCACTAAATGTCTAGAAGTGATTTTGTGCTACTTTCTTATACTGTTATTGGCAAGGTTATAGAAGTTGAGAGTTGATGACATCATTTCCTGCAAGAAATCTTAAAAGATGGCAGCTCGCTGGAAATAAGCACTAGATTTTTAAATGATCAATATTGACCATATTAAAACATTTTCCCATGTTTTGCTAAATATGGAAACTATATATATGATTATAGCTACCATATCAAGAGAGAAAGGGTCTGGCAAGGAATATTCCTTTAAGTAATTATACACAAAATCTCAATTATTATATTGTCTTTTAATAAATTTTAGCTAAAATTTAATGGGCGGTTTTTGATACAGAGTATATCTGAAGGAAATACAATATTTCTACCCGAGGGACCATATAGGCTAATAGGGACCGACGGTGGATGTTTTGTATTTACCGAGGGATATATCCTTATCAAAAATCGAGCATTTAATAACTGATTTATCCAATACTAAGTAGATTATGAGGATTAAGTATACATTGAATGTTATGAAACACTAAAGTAATAATTGTAAATGATAATCACAATCAAAACATGAATATTTTATCTCAATTTGAAGTTCTTAACATTTATTGTTTTTTAAACTCAACAACTTTAATATTTATCAGTATATGGAATTAATATCTCTCCAATAGATCCAAAAAGCAACGAAGAAATTCCCGGGGATTGTTGATGAGTGGGTGATATATATATCTAAAAATGGTGCATCCTGTATATATTTAAGGCAAAAATTAATTTGTCTGTTGTTTCATCGTTTTCTCTATACCGTAATCGCCATATACGCACCTAATAAGCGCCCACCCCACTGGACATAGTTCAAGAAATATCGAGGAATGACCAGGTATTATATCAGAAATATATCAGAAAAAATAGAATCTCAAAAGAAATCAAGTGGATGATAATGAAGAACTTCATCATTACTTAAACTAAACTGTGGTAAAAGTGACACGTTTTGTAATTCGCTGCATCCTCCTGATAAATATCTATAATTGGGTGCTTTCCACACCATACTGAACTTATATTATCTAAAAACAATCAATAATGTCCAGTGAGCAAATAAACAACGCCCCCCTTTACATGATATGAAAATAATACATAAAAAGATCTGGATTATACAGGACTATCCTTCTTCCAGAATTATAGATATAGATATATAGAATAATGAATAAAGGAAATGTTCAAGTTGAAGAATGCATCTAAGCACCTTGAGGTCATGAACATTCTTTCCAGCATTTATCTCTTATTCTCATTTTTTCTCATATTCTCTTTTTTGTTGAAGCCTGATGATATTTCCATTCACTAATATTTGAATTTTAGAAAACAAGTACACATTAACTGTTTTTATGTTGAACATTTTCTTTTTATATTGCAATGATGAATCCACCTAAAAAGACTCCTTATTGCATGAATAAACCTGTCAACGATATGTCTTGCCTTAATTCAGTGTGGTTAAACTTAAAGGAGTACTAAAATGGGAGTAAGAATCTCTTTAGTAGATTCTATTTACCACAATTAACAATTTAAGACAAAGTTATCAACCTCTGTAATGTTTTTATTTTTGCCAACATTTTGCAGTCATGTAACGAGATGATATACCATGAGGTGGGAGGTAGCAACGTGCAAACTAAGGCTAAACAAAAGAAAAAATACATTAGTTTCACATTCAAAAATTCCATTGGAAAGAGCACTGAAAAATTATAATTACAAATACAGTAAAAGAAATTGTTTTAAATACATATACTAGACTGTGTTACCATAATTAAAAATATTAAAACAAAAATCAAATTTTGTTGGCCTTACATCTTTCCAAAGAACTGATGTCACATTGCAGGGCTATCAAGTACAAATCGTTACAAATTTCTCAATGATTCAAAACATTATCATTATAAAGACTGAATAAATTCCTGCTTACCTGTCAATCAAAAACACCTTTCAAATTAAGATTTCTTTAAAATTGTAAGACCTATTGTAATGATTAAACAGACTATCTACTGAACAAATTTTAAGAGGGAGACACTCTGAGTGTCCATACATTCGTTTGTCCGTCCGTTTGTCTGTCTATTCATTCCTCCATCTGTCAGGGTGATAACAGATAGTGTACCTGAACAGAAAAAGTGGTATCTCTAAATCTCAAAAATCTTTCTTCCACTGAACACTCTATTTACACAAAAAATCACTAAGATTCCTTCATTATTTAGAAAGTTATTCCAAAATTAGTGGGAGGCATTTTTTGTGTCACCCTGTATTTGTCTCTTGACAAAATAACATAAATTGATACCCAAGTATCATTTTACTCACTTAAGAATATTGCTATTTCTCAGAAAGTATATTTAAGGAAATAAACAATATGTTCTATCAGTTATGTTGCAAACATGTGAAGTCACTTATGTGACCTTTATATTATCATATTACCTTTTGTATTCTAGATATGAAGTTTGGACCATAAATAAATAAGTGTGGATTTGCTGAAGTGAGGATTTCCTATGTTAAAAATGAGAGATTTTTCAAGAGGCCATACATCAGGGAATAAGAATGTACAAAATGTAAAATTTTCATTTTTGGGGATAAGTATCTTGACAATATTGGAAACTACAGTATGGGCTTTTGAACCAGCATGGTTTGGAAATGGTGATAGAATATCGACTTCCCATTTATTTATGGTCCAAGCTGTAGTATAAACTGTCATAATTCTGTAATAGGAAACAGGAAAATTGTTATAATTAAACTTGACTTCTATTAACGGTACATGTACATGGATATTTCTTCACAATACATTACATTGTGGATAAATCTGGCTATATTTTAATGCATTTTTTCAAAGAGAAAAAAATAAGAAGCCACTCATAATTTCAACTTGAAGTTTTTTGATGAAATGTCAATTCTAATAATTTATATCAAATTTTCTTAATAAAATATTGCAACCATATCTTTTTCTCTAATTTGGATCTTTGAACACTCCATTATTATTACAAATCTGTTTTGAAAAATCCTCCCCATTTCCATATGTACCATATTGGAAATATTTGGCAATCATCTTCAAATGTTCCTGCATACTCATGATCTTATCCCTAGGGATTTTTGACAAGATATCAATGATGTTCTCTCCTTGCTTAGTAATACGTTCCTCTTTGATATAAACAGTAAAGTTGTCATAATTGAAAGGATAGTTATACTTAATGAGATTTTGGAATGGGTAGAAATATGTCGGGTGATAGGTAAATATCACTGGTATACATCCTGTTAGCATCATATCATAGAATGATTTCCTTGTTGGGGTGTCACCGGGGGGCTGAAGGCAAAATATACTCCTTTGTGCCGACTTAAGTAAGCACTTAATCTTAGATAGTTTTAATGAAGCAGAATCCCAGCATGACTTTTTTCCTGGAGTCAAATCAAAATAAGTCCCGATTTTCCATGAATTATTGCCCGTTTTATCAGTTATTTGTCTGATCAGTATTTTCCGAAGGGATTTTCCAAGTGGTTTTCCTGCCATGAAAACTAAAATGTCCTTTTTGATGCGTGGAAACGCTACATCAGGGCTGATGAAATGAATATACGATTCTCTTGGTATATCAATGCCATCTTTTAACAGAGGATTTGATTCAATGTGTGCATACTTTACAAAATCCAACTGTGTTCTGTTTCTCAAAAAATGACAGTGGGGGGTCCATTTTGGATTTGAGAATAAATCCCTTTGTGGAACTCCTATTGCAAAGAAATGTGGTTTCTTCTGTATGTAAGGCTTAGATGCTTTGAGAACTTCCCATATCGCCGTGTCTGAATGTTTCACATTCTCTTGGCAGAAACAGATCAAAGAGGCATAATATGGCACAAAAAATAAATCGGCATCATCAGGATTTTCTGTCATATATGGACTCTTCAAAAGTTTGTTATGAAATATCACTTCTATACCATGCTGACACTGTTTAAAGATCTTCACCCCTCTACCAAATTCTCCATCAGCTCGTCCATAGCCACGATTTTCATCATAGTGACAACCAGCACCATGTGTATAGTTTTTTGGTCTTTTATTAAGGCAGTCTATTGCATCTAGGTTAAACCCTGGGTCTAATTCATAGACATAAACTCTAAGATTAGTGATATCCAATTGATAGGCATTGTCAAAAATGTTTTGATTTTTACTTCTAAAAGTCAGTTGTACTTCAGTTCCATATGTTTCATGCTTTAATGATGAATTAATGCTTCTAATTTGTTCCCCATCTTCATTTTTCTTGCTTGATTTTAAACTAATGAAATTTTTTTCCGTTCCAATAGTTCGATTTCTCACCTCATTTTTTCCAATTGATTTTGCTGTCACTGATTTTTCAAGGTTTAGTTTTTGATCTATAATTACCCTTGATTTTGATGTTTCTTCAGCCTTAAAAGTTTGATTGTTCCAAACGGTTTCTCTGCTTTCTATATTCCTTATATTAATTTTTCCAGTAAATGGTATAGTTAAGTGTTGGAGATTTAGAATCTTCAGCTGATAAACGAGTAGCAGTATGGCTGTCCATACGATAATTATGATTATAACTCCTTTTATAAAAGCTGTCTTCATGGTAGTTTAGTTGGAAATACAAATAATTATCTGTTTTTAATAATAATGACAATCAATAGTCAAGTAATAATTAACATGTTACTAGAGACTTTCACGGTCAATGGCAACTGTAAAAACCGTGCAGCATTTTGTTTTTTTATTCCTATTATGATTTACATCATAAATACGATACATTGTTATGGTAAATTAAGGCCCCTTCAAATTAATCTTCTGTTTTATATAAATTTTTATAAAAAACAGTTTCTGAATGTTCTTTTTTATTTAACGCCCTAAAATGCATTAAATCAAGTCAAATGACATCAAACCCTCAAATACTAGCACAGGAGCAATGAGTTGATAAGTGTTCAGCTTGAAGACATAAGAATTTTGTGATATCACACTTTTGAAAGATATGTTTTTACTTCATTTTAATATTATGAGACATCATTTTGTTTTCATGAACTATACCTGGTAATGACATTTTCTAATGTGTCTTTGTTGCACTAATAATAGCAAAATATGTATTAGAAAGAATATATAATTGAAAATTGATCAATGATAGAAAAACAAAGCTGGTGATCTATTATTTTAATTTCTTTATACTAAATCTAGTTATAAAACTTACGGGTGCACAAAAATTCAAAAATCTTGTCATTTGGTTTTGGAGACTTTTCCTATTCCATAACATAGGAAACACATGGAGAAAATAAAGTTGTGACACCAAAATTTGTTAAATCATGAAGCATAATTATGTCATGGTCATTCTAATATATAAGGGTTATGTACTGGGAGGTTCTGGATATAGGGTTTATCCCGAGGGATATATTTATTTATCCCATACTTGGACGTGTTACGGGTACATAAAGCCGGTTTGTAAAAACTTATATTTTCATCAGCGGGCAGATATAGCTTTACGTCCCGCTCCGAGCGGGCAGATATATTATATCTGCCCGCTACGTCATAATCGCTGTTCCCGTATTGGTTCTTTTTTGTAACGTTCGCATACTGTAAACGACAATGGAGAAAAACGCAGACAATCTCGACCTGTTTGATGCTTTAAAGAAGGGAAGGAGCAGTGTACCGGCGTTAATAATCAAAGATTTGAATAGGAAAGAAACAGGAATACAAAACTGGACATGAATATTTAAAGAATATTCCACGGTTGGTTGCAACCACGGCCCTCGGGCAGATATATTATATTGGCCTCGGGATAATCCCAATATCCTGAACCTCATATAGGATAATCTCTATATCTCCTTGAGGGACCAAAGGGACCATTGGGAGATATACATATTTCCCGAGGGATATACCCTATATAGCTGGTGTATCTCATGCTTGATAGAAAATCCTCAACATTGATTCGGTTTTCAAATCTTAGGTTGGTAGCTCATTCTTAATCACTCAAATTAGTGTCATTTTTGTGCGGGATGGATATATTATATCTGCCCGCATTTGGCCTGGAGCGGGACATATAAAATATATCCTGCCCACTCCTCAGATATGATACATATTCCCGGGTAATGTCTACCCCAAATCCACTCAAGTATAAGATACAGAAATGTAGAAATATATACACTTTGTAATAAAGTTATCTTTAGGCCTCTGGACATACAACTACCTTAGCCTAGGGACTAGGAGAATTGTAGATAAAACAGTAAATTGATTTGTAAGGGACTTAATTGCATGCATCAGTTTCTGTGTTGTTGCATATTTTTGCTGATCATATAGTTGCTCTGATATTACTACAGAATACAGTTATTTATGAACATAAAGTTAAAGTTGTTAGAACGTAAAGTATGGCTGATTCAAATGTTTGATATTGCTTTTTCCATGTTTGGTATTTATTGATTTCAATCTACTAACTTCATGGTCATGGTGGGAGATTTGCTGAAATGATCCTTAGGCATATTGGTTCTACAAGTTAAAAGTCAAGGTTAAAATATTTTTTTGTAATGTGCCGTTAAGAAGTAAAAACATAAGTATATAATTCATTTTGTCATTATACTTTCTGGTTTCTAACTTTAAACATTTAAAAGTAAATACAGTTGTGCCATTGACAATTAAAAATAAAAAGAAATAAAAAGGAGGTGACACATCAAAGATTAAAAAGATTTTCTAAAAACACATTTTTCTTGATTTTATTAGCTCACAATTATGGTGAGCTTTTGCAATCACTCACTTGTCCGTCTGTCCGTTGCCGTCTGTCCGTCAACAATAGTGGCACGTTTTAAAACCTCCGTTGAAAAGATTCCTGTTTTAAGTTATTTTTGTCCAACATTAATACAGAAATCTCCCCTATGACTCCTGGTTCAAAAGCTCGCCTATTTTTAAAATCAGGTCGCCATTTTTGTCCTGCAAAATTCAATTTTGGCCCATTTCCTAGCTTTACAAATAATTTCAGGTGTCCTGCATTGTAAAAAGCCATGTAATTGTAAAGAGAAGATGTATGAAATAATTTTGTTACAAATAATTGGCAAAAAATTATATCTGTTTTTTACTTTCAGCCAGTTTAGTTAACATTGATTTGTCCATCTGTCTATCAGTCAGTCCAAAATAGTGGCAAGTTTTAAAACCTCTGTCTGTCAACACTTGTCTCTTTTTAAATCCTCTATAGATAGGATTCCCATTTAAAATGTTTTTGTTCAACATCAATAAAGAAAAAAAACCTGTGACTCCTGCTTCAAAAGCTCGCCTATTTTCAAAATGGCTACAATTTTTGTCTTGAAAAATCAAGCGAAATTCACTTTTGGCCCATTTCCTAGCTTTACAAATAAATTCAGGTGCCCTGCATTGTAAAAAGCCATGTCTTTGTAAAGAGTAGTCGTATGAAATAATTTTGTTACAAAAAATCGGCAAAAAATTATATTCGTTTTTTACATTTTCTGTCATTTTAGCCATCATTCACTTTTGAATGCACTATGTGAGCCCAGTACCCACGGTACTATTTGTTATTATTTGAAATCTTGTTCTGAGATATACTCAGAATGCACCAGAGGGTCTAAATTTGAAAATTTTCTGGGGCCATGCTTCCCGATCCGCAAAACGCCGCACTTCATGCGCGACCCATCCATACCCGAAAATCGCCCCTCCCCTTGGCAAATCCTTCTGACGCTCTTGAAGTAAATACAAATGGAGGACCGCTGACCTAGACTAAAACTAAAAAAATATGCATGTGTGTTCAGATATAGATTATCTGCCATCTTCCCAAGCTTACAAAACAAAATGCTTCGTTGATTAATAAAATCTGATTAATATGTATGCAGATGACATGCACTATTTACGATCAATACTGTGCAGTATGGAATTATTACATCGTTATCTGCAATTGTCTCAGGTTTTAATAGGCAATGTAACAGATGGGATGTTGTGGACTAGGAAATGGATAATTTTACCTTCTCTACCCAAACTATAAGTTTTGACTCACATGCTTTACTCAAAATATAATGACTTACATTCTACCTTTTCCCAAAATATAATAGATTGCACTCTAACTACTCTACCTAAAAAATTGAACATTACATTTTACCTACTCTACCCTAAATATAATAACTTACATTCTACTTATAAAAAAAGTGTAATGCATTCTAACTACTCTACCCAATATGTCATCAAATTACATTTTAACTACTCTACCCAAAATATAATAACTTACATATAACTAAGAAACTTATAACTAGGAAATTTTACCATGTCTACCCAAAATAACATTTAACAAAATATAATAACTTACATTCTACCTACCCAAAATTACATTTTAACTACTCTACCCAAAATAACATTTTACCCATTCTACCCAAAATATAATAACTTACATTCTACCTATACCCAAAATGTTTTAAATTACATTCTAACTACTCTACCCAAAATAACATTTTACAAAATATAATAACTTACATTCTACCTATACCCTAAATGTTTTAAATTACATTCTAACTACTCTACCCAAAATAAAATTGTACCCACTCTACCCAAAATATAATAGATTGCACTTTAACTACTCGACCCAAAAAATTTAACATTACATTTTACTTACTCTACCCAAAATATAATAACTTACATTCTACTTATAAAAAAAGTGTAATGCATTCTAACTACTCTACCCAATATCAGCAAATTACATTTTGACTACTCTACCCAAAATATAATAACTTACATATAACTAAGAAACTTATAACTCGGAAATTTTACCATGTCTACCCAAAATAACATTTAACAAAATATAATAACTTATGTCTACCTACCCAAAATGTTATAAATTACATTCTAACTCCTCTACCCAAAATAACATTTTACCCATTCTACCCAAAATATAATAACTTACATTCTACCTATACCCAAAATGTTATAAATTACATTCTAACTACTCTACCCAAAATAACATTTTACAAAATATAATAACTTACATTCTAACTGAAATACCAGAGGCCCATTGGGTAGTTGCACTATAGCAAAATTAAAATCATTATAATGTTAATTGTCGCTGTACAAGATTGTTATATATGATTTGAAAAAAAACATTTATAAACATAATTATACAGGCACTGCTCATATTTAAGGTTTATTCTTAATAACTGTATCTAGTTGATAATTGCATGGGCTTTCAATGATAATTGCAATATTGATCTAATAAAGATGTTGAAATGTTCAGCCCTAGTTGCTTGTGCCAATTACTTTCAAGCTCTAGATATAATATGATTTTGTACTGTTTTTTCAGACTAAAACGGGTGATACAATTACGACAAATCTCACTGCTGCTAATCGTGCCAAAAAACTTTTTGCAAAAGACAAATCTCATGATAACGATGAATCACCTCTCCTGACTGCAGTAGCCATCCCAGATCCAGTCTTTTTTTGTTCAATAGAACCACCATCCTTATCTAAACAAAAAGACTTGGATTTTGCTCTTGAGTGTTTGCAGCGTGAAGATCCAAGCTTTCACGTCTCAATAAACCCCGATTCTGGACAAACTATATTATCTGGAATGGGAGAGCTGCATCTTGAAATTATACATGATCGTCTCCGCAAGGAATATAAAGTGGATGCTTATCTTGGTCCAATGCAAATTGCATACAGAGAAACAATTCTGGAATCGGTTGAAGAGTCGGCCATCTTGGATGTGACCTTGGGTGATAAGAGACACCTAGTTGAGATGACCCTAACTATATATCCAGCTGAAAACCAAGGGGTGCCGAAACATGTCATTGTTGTTCCCAGTCAGGATAATCAGTTAGAACGAATCAAACGTCATCACTTGAAGGCCATTGAAAATGGGGTACAGTCTGCTCTGGCACAAGGTAAATAGCACAAGTTGTACCAGTATTGAATACTTTCTAGGAATGACCTGGATAATTTGAATTTTTTGACTCCAAACCAGGGTTATGGAATATTGTATATTCAATGAAATAAACACATTCATGCAAGAGAAAGAGGGGGTAGGTGCAAATATTTTCGAAACAAATGCGTGATATATACACATATTTTGGACATATGCGTGACATGAACGGCAATCACATGAAAAGACTGAAGGGAATGTGTTCACTTTTTTAGCTGTTCGGTATACCGTATTGGCATTTTATAAAGAACAATTTTTAAAAATATCAAAATACGTGATTTGTGTGATATTTTAAAAAAAAGATCAACATTGTTTCTAGTTTTAATTAATTAAAACAACTTTATTGTTTGATAAAGTAATTTTTAGGTCTCTGGGTAAACAATTACCTAAGTGGTAACAGGAACTGAAGAGGTCATTATAGACTTTCATTATCTTTTATTGTATTGTATTTTGTTTACCACCAACGAGCAATACCTCTTGGGTATATCCCGAATCGAATCCGGGACCTATTGCGTTAGAGGTACCTTTGCTACCGCTGAACTATACGGGTGGACTTTCATGTGCTGTCAGATTGTCCTTAGTTACACATCAGATTTTATATGTGACATATATTTTGTTAAAATATATGGAATTCCAATGTCAATGGACAATGTCTCTTTAATTATGCTATGAGCTATCTAGAAATGATCATGAACTGTATGTCAATGTCAATAAAATGAAGTATTTTATTCAATATTTCAGGACCTATCCTTGGGTATCAGGTGACAGACGTAGAAGTGGAGCTGCATAGATTTAGCATTGGTCATGGTACGTCACTTCCTATGGTGTCAGCTTGCGCCTCTCAGTGCGTACAGAAAGCCCTGGGCCGTGGCTCTAGTGTGCTGCTACAGCCAATGATGGCCATCGAGGTAAAGTTTTTCACCAAGAGGCCCCATGGAAGATTAATTGATGTACATTTGTATTTTGATAGACTTGAGAAATATATTTATAAACTTTCCATGGGGTCATTAATCTTAAAAACCAGGTCATTAATCTTAAAAACCAGTCCAATTAAGCCTTGCACTAAATTGACATATGGTCCTGTGACAATTTAGAAGTGGTTAGGCACCATTTTGTGACTTGTATTCAGGAATGTATCACTGGGCCTCTGGGAAGATCAGTTTTTTGTATTGATTATTTGATAGAGCTACCGAGAATCAGTATAGTTTTCAAATCAAATCAAACATATGTCCGAGCTTTTACATCAGTCCATCAAAGGTTTGTAAGCAGGACACTCCAGCCCATTCCATCAGCCAAGTCTCTGGTATTGTAACAACATGCATTTTGATGGAGATTTATTCATTGAAATGTAATTGAAATGTTTTTCCAGATAAATACTGATGAACAAAGATTGAGCTCTATATTAGGTGATCTCTCAAGACGTAACGGCCAAATAGGTGAGATCCAAGCACGTGGTGATACGAGAGTTGTTCTATGCAAGGCACCTCTGAGCAATCTATTGGGCTACTCCACTGATCTTAGAACAATTACATCTGGAACTGCAACATTCTCATTAGAGCTTGCAAATTATGAACAACTGGACGCTCATGAACAGCAAAATGTGATTGAAAAAATGAGTGGCGTTGGAAGACATTGAAATGATGTCAACAATGTCCAAATTAAAACAGGTTTAAATTTATTCATAATTTGGTATTGAAATCATATTCTGTAAAGAACTCTTGGTTCACAAGGTTTCAAACTTCACCCATCATAGGTTCCCACGCTCAATCATTATGTTTTTTTTAGGACAGGTTCGAAGTTGATGAAGTTGACTTCACCTTGATAATTTAAGAATGATTCCATATTGACTTAGTGGACAAAACAAAATGCTTTTAGTATTTTTAAAGTAAATGTATCATATCTCTAAACTTTGTCACAATTAAGTAAGATGAACATCAGTTCACTGGATCTTTCCATAGAAACTTCATGGAATGCCCTACAATGAGAATTTATAAGCGTGACTGCTGGTGATCCATTAAATCTTAAAATTAGGAGTTATTGGGAAATTGCTTTGTGGAATTGCTTTGTGGAATACTGAACAATTCATGTTAAAATATAATAAAAGAAAAGGTTGATTGAACCAATTGCTTATGAACAACATTATTTTGTTGAGATATTGAAATCATAATTGTTTGGCATTTTGTCATCTTCCCAATAGGGAATCAAATGAGTTGACATAATGTCAACATTTTCATAAACTGTTTTTGTATCATCTGCATACAAATAACTTTAAACACTGAACAGGAGTTTTACCTTGATTAAAGTATTATATTTAATGTTATCTAAATATGCCTAGTCTCTAATTCATATGTAAATACTAAGATATGACTACAAACATTTCACTAGTCGACAATACAGGTATATATTGTGAATGCCTTTTTAGTAAAATAGAATCAGTTTATTGAAAATATCTTAAAGGTCCCATCCAAGTTCAATATTGCTGAAAATATCTTAAAGGTCCCATCCAAGTTTAATATTGCTGAAAATATCTTAAAGGTCCCATCCAAGTTTAATATTGCTGAAAATATATTAAAGGTCCCATCCAAGTTTAATATTGCTGAAAATATCTTAAAGGTCCCATCCAAGTTTAATATTGCTGAAAATATCTTAAAGGTCCCATCCAAGTTTAATATTGCTGAAAATATCTTAAAGGTCCCATCCAAGTTTAATATTGCTGAAAATATCTTAAAGGTCCCATCCAAGTTTAATATTGCTGAAAATATCTTAAAGGTCCCATCCAAGTTTAATATTGCTGAAAATATCTTAAAGGTCCCATCCAAGTTTAATATTGCTGAAAATATCTTAAAGGTCCCATCCAAGTTTAATATTGCTGAAAATATCTTAAAGGTCCCATCCAAGTTTAATATTGCTGAAAATATCTTAAAGGTCCCATCCAAGTTTAATATTGCTGAAAATATCTTAAAGGCCCCATCCAAGTTTAATATTGCTGAATCATCTAAATGTTATTTTTCATAACTTAATGAAATTGTTTGAGCCATTTTCCAAAAAATTAAAAAAATGTTGGTCTTTTCAAATATTTGCATTTTCTGCCATTTAAGTAGCAGTTTTTAGATCATCAAAATCCCAAAACATACAAGAATCATCTTTTTGTTCAATATATTTTGGCAAGAGATATGTTGTGGCCATTTAGGGACATGACTACTTAAAGCCGTGTTGTCTGACACTGATAAGTATTAGATGTTCGGTGGGATTTGCTAGCCCATGGCGTTGCTGTTATCTAGTTGAACACCCTATATTCCAAAAAGGAAAAATTCATTTCCGTAAAGTGATCTGGTATTTGGCTTTGTATAAAAAACCTCCTACCCACGTACCCTCGTACCCACGTACGTGGGTCCTGACCCAGTCTTTAAAGAGTTAATTATTGGCCTTTTACATCTACTGCAGACCTAACTCAAATTACATCTAAATTACATATGGACTTACCTTAGGCATGGACCTATATCCTGTTCAATATAACGTATATAAAGGCAATCTAGGAGTATAACAAATTTCCAATGTGAATATTCAGACTTCTTCCGGGAAGTTTAGGCGGCTAATAACTACACGTGCATGACGCGTGAGATTCAAACTCAATAAAACGTGGATCTGCGCATCGATCTTTGTAACGTTATTTAGATTGTCATAGATATAATTACACTTCATTTATACAAAATTCTATATACATTATGGTAAATTAAAAGGTATAGGACTATTAAAAGTATGACTGACAAAAATACTAAATATATGCGCTTGGTCGAATTTGCGCCAAGCAATAGATTGGTTGTACACTGTAAGACTGCCCGATCAACAAAAAATCGCTTCGATATATCAAAAACAACACTCAAATAGCTCAAATGAACATTATGCAATGCCGGCTTTATTTTATGACGAGACAGATGTCCGATCTAGAAATAAAGGCATATGGGTACATAAATTCATCCATAATTAAGCATACATTGAGATTGAATAATGTTTTAAACATTTAAAAATTTAACTCTTTAAAGACTGGGTCAGGACCCACGTACGTGGGTACGAGGGTACGTGGGTAGGAGGTTTTTTATACAAAGCCCTGGTATTTTAAGGGAATATATGTTAAATTTCTAACCTTTACCCTGAGTGCTTCCCACTTTGAATTATAATATAAATACTTTATGTGTCACAAAAACAAATTAAAACAATGGTTTCCTTTCTCATAACAAATATTTGTCTTTAGTCATGTGGCTATGGTTGCCCATTATCCCATGGGTGTCCCCTAGCCAGCAGAGCCTTACATTTCATCCATAATAGATTGGCGCAATATTTTAACTATTCACAAGTGAATTTGATGCTCATCAATCTACAACTAGACTTGGAGGAAAGGAGTTTTAGTTTCATTTTAACATCTAAATCGACAAAAAGAAAATGGAACTTCTGCCACATGATAAGAATAGAAGCAAGGTGGTCAGCTTTGAGAATTTTACGACATCAATGAGTGTTGACGATACACTTCTCTACAATGCAAGTGACAATGCAAGTCTAAATGTAAGCGTCAACTATCCACCTATAAACCATGTAAGTCTATATGTGAGTAACAGCAATACAATTTGAAAAATTCACGTCTGATACATATGGTTTTATTTTAGTAATGTAACGACAAATCATCAAAATTCAATGACTATGTATTTATACCTGCAATTGATATAATGATTTAGAATTCCAAATCACAAGTCCATTTTTAAACTACGCATTTTAAGAGAACTTGTTTGTAAATGTGAAGAATCATGTTCCTTTGTCCAGCGACAAGTTCTCCACTTCCTAAAATTTACTTAACCCACTGAGTATAAAAGTATAAGGAAAGGGTTGTAATCTAAAATTCCCCGAAAACCCAATTGACAAGAGGATAGTAATCCCCGAGGAGCCCTAATATTACCCATTCTTGGGATTTTAAAATATATGATATTAAGAAATAAATTATAATTTCAGGATTTGATTAAAATTACACATGTTTGTAATTCTACTCATTCCACACATTCATTCAATTCTTATTTGCAATTTTTTAACATACCTACATGTATATGACAAAGCAATTAAGCAGTTTTATCTTATAATTTCAGGGGTATTATTCTTTAATACACTTTAGAGATGTGATGTTTGCACTTAGTATCACTGTAGCTGTATTTGGAATGACGGGGAACATTCTAGCTCTGATTGTTCTATCAAAAGAAAAAACAAAAAGCACCCGTGTGTTTTTATTAAAAAGTTTAGCAGTTACGGATTTAACTTTTTTAATAACCATTGCGTTACATCTTCCTTGCATGAGACAGTTCAACTTCTACAGTGGTATGACATGCATGCATCTGGCTACATTCAAGGATATACCTAAAATATTGTCTATCTGGATGGTTGTCTTAGTGACAGTGGACAGATATATTTACATCACAAAACCACTAGAAGCCCAGAATATTTCTACTATCAAAAGAATGAAAATGGCTGTAGTAATTTTAACAACTGTGTCGATTGTATATAATATACCAATGATTGTCATTACTTATTCTGACACTATTGACTTGGATCTACTTAATTCATTATTTTGGGGACATGTTAGTTACTATGTCATATTTACCTATGCTGGACCAGTGATAATAGTGTCAGTACTGAACATGAAACTGGTCCAATCAATTCTGAAATCACGACGCAGTGTTCAACAAATCAATGAAATGACCAATAATGAGCTGGAAGACAGAAAACAAACACTAACAATGATAGCTATAGTGTCTGTATTTATGCTCCTATCTGTGGTGTGCCTGGTACACGTCATTCTTTTTATCCTTCAAGAGTATCAAATGATGGAAATCTACATCTCTTTCCCTTACATTATCAGATTACGTGAGTTCCTTTACATTTGTAATTCATCTTGTAATTTTATTTTCTACTTCATTTTTGGGAAAACATTCAGGAGAGAGTTGAAAAGAATCTTACTTTGTAGACCACCAACTTAAATGTGTATGTTATTGTAAATGAGTAAATTGTTGTAAATGTGTACGTTATTGTAATAGTAAATGTGTATGTTACTTTATCCTATGCCAAGTAGAGTTTTAAGGAGATAAGTTGGTAATATATATCCCGTATCCTGATTTTGAGGTTTCCATATCCTGAACCTTCATATCTCCCGCTCCAGGGCATATCTTCGCGCTTCGAAAACAAATCAGAAAAATAAGAAAAAATTGAAAAAAGTGAAAATGTGAAAAAAATAAAAAATTGAAAAAAGAAATAAAATTGAAAAAAAATTGAAAAAAATAGAAAAATGTGAAAAAATTGAAAAAATAAAAAAAAATTGAAAAAAAATTGAAAGAAAATTAGAAAACTCTACTTGGTATAGGATAAAGCAGTTATGTATGGTCGGTTTGGATATTAGGTTCATCCCACGTGAGATATGCATATCTCCCTCTGGATAAACCCCATATCCAAAACCTCCCAGTACATAACCCTTATGTAAATGTGTATGTTATTGTAAATGTGTATGTTTATTAAAATAATATAAGGAAAATTAATAAATACAGTAAAAAAAAGTAATAAATATGCAGTTATCGTTTTTTAATTTACTATGGTGACAAGGACTGTGATGTTATAAGAGACTTGTTGTTATTTTGTCTAAATTCATTTTCAAGGAAAACACTAAAATTTGAATCATTTTATGCTTCCAATGCTAATTATCTTCTCTATTTAGTCAATTTGGTTTTAAAGGCACTTGGTCAAACAAAGTCATTGATATATTAAAAAAGTGTGATTTATTTTCTTATTGGGATACTCAAAAGATTGATGATGACAATAATTTTATCAAGACAACAACAAAAACACTATCAGAATTATAAATCTCAGTGGACGAAAGATACATTAATTACCCTGTCTTAAGAACTTATGTTAAATTCAAAAATGTCTTGTGAGGGACATTTTGTCCAAAAAAAATAAACAAGAGAAATTTATAAAATATTTTATATCATATCATATATTATATCAGTCAACTTCCTTATTGATCATGTATAATTTGCACAACTACCTTAATGCTCAACTGCTATGTTGCACAACTACCTTAACGCTCAACTACTATGTTGTACAATTATCTTAACACAACTGCTCTGTTGTTGTACAACTACATTAAAAGAGTGACAACTACCTTAAAATATAAATTACAAAAGAGTGACCAGTCTGCCAGTGCAGTACTGTTGGTGGAATGCCTGACAATAAAGCTACTTGGGCTGTGAGTGTGGGCATATGGTAAAGTAAGTCAGCTAGGAACTAACCACATCCAGAAGATCCAAAAGCAGGCCCAACACTAAAGTACATGTATGATCATGTGACCTAGATCATGTGATACAGTAGTTACTAAACCTTTTTAAAGGTGGCATATCAGTACAGTCTCAGTATGTGCTGTGTTGAGAAGTAGTGTACATTGGGTAGGAATAATCAGTTGTACCAACAATATTTAATATTTGAAAGTATTTATAAAAGTGCATGTCACAGTCTGAAAGAGAGAGTTATTTAAATATCAAAGATAAAAATTACAGGCAAGCAATTTGTAGATTTAGCTTAGTTCCCACAAGTTACATATAGAACTTGGTCATCATTAGAAGCCTAATCCAAAACCTGTAGATGAACGTGTATGTAATATTTGTTGTATTTCAGAAGATGAACAACACTTCATCATGATTTGTAAGAAAAACACTACAGAAAGAAAACATTTGTTTGACATCCTTACACAATTTAATTTTGTAGGCAGTCCTGACATTATTTTATGTCTCACAAAAAATCTTTTGTAATTTTACATTTAGCAAAGTTCATCTAAAAATTGTATTAATGTGTTAACGATACATCACACTGATATTTTTAAATTTCTGTCAAGTTGTATCTGTATTTTACAATTATCTTGTATTTTTGTATTTTACATTTGATGATGTTGTAATGACATCAGAGAGTCAATAGTCATATATAGTCATTGTAAATGGGTATGTTGTTGTAAATGAGAATAATATTATATCAGTAATATCTTTGATCATCATGAATATGACATTTGTCATCAACTTATCTTCCTCCAAAAATGGTTCCTAACATAATTAGATAATCGATCCAAAGCCCTGAAAAAACATGTTTTTATATAAAAATGAAGGACCCACGGTCCTGTGCTAACACAGTTTGAACCCTTCAGAGGAATGTATATCATGACTTTCAAACAAAAATATTGATTTGGATTTGTAGTCATCAAACCTTGAGAAACTTAGATAGCATAGTTGTGTGACCTAGTTTGATGACCTTTGACCTTGAAAATTTTACTAATTCAGAGCTCAGTAAGATCTTTTGTGATTAAGCTGACCAAAATTTACATCCAAAAATCAATTTGAAAAATCAACTTTTTTGACCTTTCGAAGGTCACTGAAGATCAAGTAAAGGTCAAATCCTAACACTAATGTCAGATTTGATCTCCTGGCAACTTGTAGATGATTTTGGTCAAATTGAAGCAAGTTGAAACATAACTTATTTTTACTGTTTTTTGACGTCAAATATCTCAAAAACGGTAAAAATTTGATGCTGACATATATTGAGCAATATGTAGGGAATGCTTAAATCTATTAATGATGTAATTTATTGCAGGAAATGATCAAGTATAAGGCAAACTTTAAGAAACTTGTCAATCACAAAACCTGCCATTGACTTTATACATGAGAAAATTTCCTGAAAATGAAACTTTTTGTCAAATTTTATAAAGTAAACACCAAAAACCATAATTCCAAGAGCTTTGAAATCTCCAGAGGACATAAGTTGCATATTCCTAAAAGTGTCTAGTATTTACAGAAAATTTGACTTTTTGACGTCAAAATCCACAATTTCTCGGAAACCGGGCGAAATTGGGAATTGGCGATGATAGACATAAAATGAATGTGGATATGACTCAATCCGAATAGCAGTTTTAATTTGTGCGGCCAATGTTGACGGACGGACAGACCAACGGACGGACAGACGGACGCCTGGTCAATCCCATAGGCTCACTGTGTGAGCCAAAAAGAGGATCATGTTTTTTATTGCATAAATAGATTTTATGAAGAAGAGGTTTATAACTCAAAGGGAGAATGGCGGTGAAAGTCTAAGGATGTGTCCAGATATATGCCCTTTTGGTCCCTCAGTCAAATGTATGTGAAATATGGTTTTTATTACTGTCCTAGTTATATTTGATAAGTATATTTACTTTTTCACGAGTTTTGATGCATAATTAATCCCCTGCTGAGAGTCAGAATAAGTATCTTAACAACAACAAATTTAAAAATAGTCATTATCATATCACCAATGGCAACATGTATGACATACAAAGAAGAAATAACTTAAGACCCATAAAGAATTAAAAAGAAAATCATACTTTTGAAAAATATTTAAGGCTTAAATTTTTTTTCAAATTTTTGATTTCCCGCCAGTTTAATTTGAAGGGGAAAAACAAGATGGCTGCCATTTGATGTAAGAAATATCAGAAAAAAAGTTGCTTCACTTTTAGTTTTCACAATGAGCACAGTTTTCCGGTGTAGGTTTTTTGACTGATTCTGACTCTTCATCACCAGGGTCATGTATAGAGATTATAAAATTGAAACCAAAATGTTGTGCTCAGCATGAATTTGAGTGAAATATGTGTAACTTCACCAACACAATTGAAGTCTCAAAACTGGATCCTCAGTAACTTTGAGCGACTATAATCCCTTGATTACCCAGACAAACACCAATTCACTTATCCAGAAATACCATTCAATGTCTATACAAAGTCAGCAATGTATTCGAGGATATGTTTCAAACTCTTTGTATAAATAATTCATTTAATATTTGCCATTGATTTTTTTTCAATTCTGACAAAGTGATATGCACTGTCTTTGATGCCAATATTCTTCATCAATTGTGATACAAATTGATATTTTTGTAATCTCAGAAGGAGGATAAGATATTGAAGTTTAATAATATGTGTGATTGAGTTGGTTTTTCAGACATTACAATTTTCAATATTTTCTAAGTCGATACCCAGACTCATTCCCAGACTCATCCTTTGGAAAATATAAATTTTTTGCTGAAAATGTATAGCATGAGTTTTGGGAAAATTGTATGGGATAATTATATGGATAGAAACCTTTGTACAAGTACAACACATATGCTGAATGATCTTTTTCAAACTTTTATTTAAAATATCTATCTATCCAGGGTTAAAAAACATGAAATTTACATGTTTTTGGTTTCATGTCTAACATAAGACATCTGTAGGTTTGATATATACATATTTTAACATGGCACCATCTCAATACAAAGCATTTGAAAAATGACTGAAGCAAGTTATTTACAAAATAAAATGTCATCACTTGGACAATGATTACAAAAGTGTGACAATATGTTACAGATGCTGTTCAAAAAGTGGTAGCTCAACAATTTGTCTCAAATTTTTTGAGTTTTGTTTTTTCTTGTTTGTGATATGAAAATCAATGTTTCTATTTACAATAAAGCTCATTAAGGATTAAAAATACATCACATTTACATCCATTTTGTGATAAACTTGTCTATTATATGTCACACTTGTGACTTTAGATAAAGACGTTACATATTTTCCCAAGGCACTGTGTCGTGTGTTCATATAAAGCATTTTAAAATTAAAGTATTTATTATCTCATTATATTGTCCATTTTGACATACAATTTCTGATAATATCAAAATAAAAACACAATTACTTAAGCATTGAAAAAAATTATCACAAACTTTTACATGTACGCAAGGAGGATTGGCTCCCAGCATTCTTTCTCAATATTCTTTTGACTGGCATGAACCAATTTGGTAATCATATTACTGTAATGTCTGTCTGCTAACTAAAAGCTTATTCTGGAGATGAATGTTATTGTAGTAATTACCAAATTGGTTCATGCCAGTCAAAAGATGATGGTGAAAGAATGCTGGGAGTCAATCCTCCTTGAAATGTTCACTGCAGATTAATTATCAGAACAGCAGAGTATCAGTTCTCTCAAAGAAATTTTAATGAAATTAAAACATAATCTGTCTATTGTTACTCATTAGCAAATAAATGATACATCTAGGAAATACAAACATGTGTCTCCTAGAACCTGGAACTTTCAAATGAATTTCAAATTGTCAATGAAATACAAACTAATGTTCAACTTGTAGCAAATCAATATTCAACCGTTTTTTCTATTTCAATTTTTCTGGAATGGTCTATTAGTAGTGTATTAAAACTGGTCCTTCATTTAGAATGAGAAACCCCTTTTAAATGGCGGAAATAAATGAAATATGAGGGAAATAATTCTGCAATGAAATCTAGCAATACATCCAACCATTTTTTCTAATTCTTTACTAGGTGCTGTATATGTATCCAATGCTGGAGAGATAAGTTTATCCCAAGGAACACAGTATCAAATACATATCACTATCAGACAATTCAACATATTCTTCAGTGTTCACATCTTCAATTTTCAAGAGATCATCATAAATGTATTACATATCATCATCTGATGGTAGAATTTCTTTACGTTCAATCGTGAATCTCGCCAACATGCTATTTCGATGGGAAATCTTTTGTAGTCTTTTAACAAGTTGCCCAAATTGTCCTTCGGTTTCCTGGTTTACAATTGGATTAACATTTGGTGATGTCACATTGCGATTTCGAAGATTATAGCGCTGTAATCCAAAACGTTCACCCTGGAATAAAAACAAAGGACAGCAATGTATACCAGAAAATCGTGGTTGCAATATCCATATAAGTTCATCCTAAAATAATAGGACAAATGTATTAACATAACAAAATACCACCACATACAAATGGTTACAAAAGTGTAACCAGAACAAGGGCAACGCCAAAGCGTTGCGAACAGAAATGGCTGGCATTTTTCAAAAAATTTTTCAAAATGGCCGCCTTCTACCAAAAGTGTCTTTAGACAGTGTACAATGCTTATAGTATTCACATACCAAATATGAACAAAATCGCTTTACTATTTTTTGAGTTATAGCAAAAATCGTAAAATGACGAGTAAAGGCCGCCATTTTTCAAGATGGCTGCCATGTGCTTCTTTAATATCTACATTTGTAGCATTATTAATGTCCTTTATAATTTTGTTACATTTAAAACATATTGATATAACAGTTTTACATATTGCACCTAAATTACTGTAAAATCGGCACTAAAATGGCCGCCATTTTGAAATGAGCGGCCATTTTAAAAATCGGCTTTCGAGTCCGTTTTTCGGACGGACGGACAGACGGAGGGGTTCCCTATATCCCTCCGAACTTCGTTCGATGGGATAACAATTGTTACACATGAAAATGGTGATACTGATTAACATAAAAAATTTGGTGAAAACATGTTACCATTTCTTAAAAATAATGGCGTACTGGTGACATCTAATGACTAAAAATTTCACTTTTTTACTGCAAATAAACAAATAACTCTTCAGTTCACTATAAAAATAGTTCAGGATGTATAAATTGATTTCCTTTTATTTCATTCAATTTTCACCATTGATAGACTTTAATACACAAAAGGAAGCTTTGCATCAAAGCCTAATAATGGGGCTTCATTCTTACAGTTATTAAAGGTGCATGTTTACTTTGTCCTCTTCTAGACGCATTGCCATGTCATTGAAGATGTTTAATTTGGGGTGTTTTAGGGTTGATTTAAAGGCTTATTGATCGTAAGAAGTTTGTGGCACATATATAAATATATTTTCTCTTGATGTGTATAAACATACACATGTCCCAAGAAGAACACCCTTTTCAATGCATCTTCTACTATAAGCCTTAAAGGTCCCTGTATGCAAATCGTTGTTTATCAAAGGAGCAAGTCACATGGGAATCTTGAACTTTTACTTACAGACATGGGTGAATGGACGGGTGTATTATTTCGACTCCCCTTGGGTCTGCCTGGGCCCCGTTTACCAGCTGAACCTACAATAAAAGAAACTTGTGGGTTATTGCAATTTGATATAGACCCTGAATGCTAACCACCAATCACTGAATGCCTTCACTGGAGACCATAATTATATAAATTTTTTGTAACATGGCATTAACACCTGACAAATTTCACCCTCTATTAAGTTATTGCAAATGGTTACAAAAGTGTAACAGTATGTTACAGATGCTGTTACTGATGAAGAGTACCAAAGCCGAATGAAGGCCACAAAAATGTGACTATAACAATATGTCACCTCTTATTTGTGGTGTCATAATAAATGATGCAACCATGTGTACAAAAAACAATAGATAAGGCATTAGCATGCAAAATGTCACCACCTGTCATTTGTTACACACACGCCAACTGCCGAACACCATCATCCAAAAAAAGTTGGAGATGATAACAATATGTCACCACTTGTGGGGGTGACATAATACACTAAAATAATGTAAAAAATAATATTTGTAACTACACATTCAAATAGTAAATTAATATCAGACATAAACTTTAGAAAACAAATATTATAGGTTAGAAACAGAAACTTTGAAAGGTTGAGAATTCCTAAGTCCATTGTTCTCTTACTATGACATCATTGTGTCCATGGTTACAACAGGAATTCCTAACTTTTCTATATTATCTTTTGCAAATCAATCCCCGCCTCAAAATAATGTAACATAGCTTGAATGAAGAGTCTCACCAATACTAGTGCTGCCATCTTTTGCTGGTGTCACTAATCCCATGTCCTTCCTCAGGTCTCTGGAAAATTGTACATGTACATAATGATTCACCATAATTTGTCAATTACTTTCATATAAGACATCCATATAAGGCCATGAAAGTTTGTGATCATGAGGTAAATGTTAAACCATATTTTCAAGTTGTAAACTTATATAATGTGACTAGTACATAGTGTGATTTATAAGTGAAGTTAACACTTTTTACCTCAACTCATCATAAAGGCTAGGGGTGCTACAACGACTAGACTGACGGGAAAGTCCTGTCGCAAAACTCGCAATGCTGGTATCAGAATCGCTCTCCTTCCCTCTGGGAATATATGTGTGATCACTCTCCGCAAAAGAATCATCAGAATTAGAGTTCGAATCATCAGAGTTGTAGCCTGACTGTGTCTCATCGAGTATTTTTGGAGAATAGCTTGGCTTTCGCTTGTATTGAATACCTTAAAAAGAGTATAGAGAAGACATAAGACTGGTTCAGTTTTTAAAACGACAATCTGAAGGATACACAAAGGGGGTCAATCTATTCTCCATTGAGAAACAAACAAGGCATTAACATGCAAATGTCACCAATTGCCATTTGTTACACATGCTAACGGCTGAACACTGTCCAGAAAAAAGTCACTACTTCTTGTGGTGGCATTAAAATTGTATTGAAGATTAAAAGAATTTTAGGAAATTCCCTACCACATAAACGGTGATAATAACTCAAAAAGTACATGTACGCGTAACTTAACATAAATCTTGTGCTCTCCACACATTGAAATCTCCAAAGTGCAGCACAGTAAAACATGTATAACAGAAAACCTCTCATGTGAACAGATTTTTCAGTCCAAGTTTCTAAATCTGCCATAGACTTCCATGTTAAAAACCCTTCAAATGTGAACACATGCCAATCTAAAAGCACTTTTTAAACTTTATATTTGGATCCACAACTTACTGAGATTTTTTTGACTGTCGACCATATCAGCGCTAATTCCACTGCTACTGCTTGTGTTGGATACTCCATGTCCTCCATGTGTGATCATGGCAGGACCTTGTCCCTCTATGTACCTGTTATATCCATTGCCTACTTCCAAAGGTAAACTGGCATTTGGAGTTTCTGCAATACAAAGGACACAATCCAATTTTAACCCAATCATGTATCTAACTACTTCATTCCATTTGAAAAACAAATTAATTAACATCCATATATAGCATTTTTCGAGTATATAACTTCGAGTAAAACTTCCGATCCAGAATTTTTATACCATACCGGAATAATTGATATTGATGATCAAGACCTTAAAAATCATATGAAAAGCATCTAGGGCTCTCATAGTCTCATTAAGCTTTTAGACTGTGGAGCACCACCACAGTCAAATGAGTCTATTTAGCTCCTACTACAACCTATTAGCAAATCATGATTGTCTAAACTTGACTGAATACACAAAAACAGCATGTAAGCGATAAAATATCCCCCTTGCTATAGCATGTTCTAATGTTATCCAGAGACTTGTAAATACAGTATATGCAATGTTAATATGAATCATCTATATTATGGGTCATGGGAAAATATATTTTTAAACTTACTAGGCTGTGCTTTAAGGTTCTCCATAATCATTTTATTTTGATCGAATATCTGTGCTATCTTGTCATGTGTTTCTTTCACGAGGTCTCTGTAACGATAGGTGCACATTCCAAGAATGACCACTGCTAAAGTGCCATAGAACGTCCTGCACCACCATAACCTATTGAAGGCTAGAACCTGGAATATAATGTTAGTCAATATCAATCTAAGTGCAGTCAAACATGTGTACCTGAACACCTTTCCAATCTGAACACCTTTCCAATCTGAACACCTTTCCAATCTGAACATCTTTTCAATCTGAACACCTCTCAATGTGAATGCTTCTTTCTGTCCCATTTTTCGGTCATAGACTTCAATGTTAGAAAAACTTAAAATTTGAGCATCTGCTTATCCCAACACTTGGCTGGTCCCATTGGCATGCAGATTAGACAGATTTTACTTAAAGCAATAATCTGGTACACATTAAATATGATACAAATACAGAACATACCGAACAATTGTTTGTAATTTAAGTTTCAACTGAATCTTTCAATGAAGCATGGGCTTTCAACTTTCTAATTGAAAGCCCATGACGAATGAAGTAAGCATAAAATGAGCAGGTCTGGGAAACAAACTAAATGATTGTCAGATTGTAGACTTAAAATAATTTAGTTCGTAAGAACTAATCTATCAATATGTACATTAAAACATTTTAGAGTACAGAAAATATCTTACATTTGCATCGGGGTAGATATGTTTTGCATCTTCGTTGACATACCAGCTGACAACCATGCGCTCTGTCATGATATTCAATGTCATAATAGCAAATAGCCAAATTCTTGCTCCACTTGTCCTTGGGGTGGACGTGATGAGGTAGGACACAATAATCGCGAATGTGTAGAATATCCAACTATAGAACCCTGTGAATTCTCCCATCACAATGGATTGTAGCATCTGGATTCGCTCAAACACTTCTCCCATCAATGCTCTTTGCTCTGTGGATTGATGCTTGAAGTTCTCAACCATTTTCGCAACATTTCCTTGAGATTGTTCTAAAGCAGCGCTTAGAGATTGACCACTGGAAAGCAGTCGTTCTTGATTTTCTAAGCTTGCGTTTTGGGCATCTAAAAGTTGCGACTGCAAATGAGATGAATCTTCTATTTGATTGGCCACATGTTCCGAGCTTACTGTCAGTCGGTTGATTGTGTTTTCTGTCTGTTGCTGCCATTGCTGCGACTGTAGATAAAAACATATACTTTGCGTATGAGTAAAAAAGTTATTAAAAGTTGTATAATGATGCCCCTTCATCTCTGCGACACAATCCTCTATGGATTGTTCAACATCGCAAGGGTATGTGTTCTGGCCTGTTTTCTGAAGAAAGCAGTTTGTGAATGATAAAGCAAGTCTATGTTGCACATCTTCATTCAAGTTTTTACAGCCAGACTGTAGCGACGTCAAAGCTTCCTGCCAGCAGGAGCCATATCGACGATCTTTAGAATTGCGAATTAAATCACTGTATTGGGCTTCACCTTCTTTATACTGCTCTGAATTTTCAATGTCATTTTCAGTGGTTTCATATAATTTATTTTGACCAGTTTGTGTTGAAAATGTGAAAAAATCAAGAAACACAATAAAGAGAAGTCCATTCAACAGATTGCGCCTGTTGTAAAATTTGCAGAATATCATCTTGTGTCAGCAGAAGCTACTACACCAGCATGTAATGTTATCTAATTGATATGATAGAGATATATGCTATATTTTAAGCGTTTTAATAGTTTTTCGATCTGGAATCGATTTCACAATTTTTTTTAAATTCACCGCTGGAAAACGCCACAAATTGATTTTGGGGCTCATGAATCATTCATGTTGATTGTCTTAAATAACAATACAACTTATCAGAACATTTGAATTTGAATCGAATTATATATATAAGTTGATTAACGTGTGATTAATGTGTCAATTGTAATGTATTTTAGATGTCAAATTTAGGTTTGAAACAAATAGGTGGTGTGTCATTGAGCAGAACTTACTTCCGGTAGAAGAAAAAATTTGACAAAGTTTGTTTTTCAGTAAAGAACATTGTGTGGTGAGTATACACGATTCCTTTGCATTTTTCTTTGCTTATAGTGGACAACTCAGTTGGGAGCCTTAGCCAAATGAGGCATTGGAAGAAGTTGAGAATCAGGTGTACGAGATAATGGATAATTTAGAATCAATGAATCATCCTTACAATATTTTCCTTGACAACTTTGGCCCTGAAAATAAGAAATTCAATATGATATTCACCATGTCCCTACTTCAATGGCGTAGCCTCGTATACGCATATAATGCCATGTTGTACTCTTAAAATTTAGAGAAAAGTTGATTTTTTATATTGAATTGCCCACGGACATCTAATACGTTCTTCGAACGGGAATGATATCACTTACAGGACTGGCATCCAGATCCAAGTATTTTTCAAGACCGCCGACTCTCGTTGGGCTATTTATCCCTATGAAAGCCCATGCTTAGATGCTTTGTAATCGACGTAGATAGAAAATATTGTTTCCTAAATTGTTCTGAAAAGCGATAATTATTACTAAATGTACTTTGAACAGGTCGACTGACAAAAAAGTCGGACTTCTGGCACAAGGTCACGTGACCTATTCGGGCGGTCACAGGAGGTTACGAGAACTAAATTCAAATTTCCCAAACAATCATCATTTAACCAATCAACGTCTAGATAAAATTGATGACGTCACCGCCATCGGTCAAGGTCAGGTCAAAAGTCATCCATCTTGCCATTTGCCCCGCGGATTGTTACCAGTCGACAAAAAACGATGAAATCACGTTAAAAATAAAATATGCACTTTAAAATTGAGGCTGATTGAATATGACAAGACTCCATTGAATACAGTTGTGCAATTTACAGTCACCAAGATGAGCTAATTTCGGAGAGATTCGGGATTTAAAAAAGGTAACACATTCTGGATTCCCAACTTCCCAAATTTGAAATCCCAGAATCTCCTTTGTCAGAACATTCTCTCTGACTGTGGAATTGCCCCACATTTTAAGAAAAATGATAAAAACGACCAATAATTTACATTCTACATGTATTAGTGCATATAAGTTGGAATTTCTTATTTTAAATGCCCTACAATGCTTCAAATGCAATCTCATTTTCAAATTTTCTTGGGGGAGAACCCACCCCCTCACTTCGCTCACTCGTGGCGTACGCTCACAAAATTCCCACACTACACCACTGTACTTATCAGTATGCTTCAGGTCCTTTGACGGCCTTGGTTACATTGTGAAACTTTTTGAACTTTAAGAAAAATAGAATCCATTATTCACATAACCTATTTTTAAGAGTAGGTAAAGTAAAACAATTTGCAATGACGAAAACATGCATATTTAGAATGGTACATTCCTCAGTTCATTTTATCCATGATTACAACAGTTGATTTAGGGATTCTTCAATTCATGTAATTTCTGTAAATGATCACCCGACCTATTTATTTATTACAGATGGCGCTGCTGCAGTATGCCCCATTCAGCAGTGCATTAGATGCAGGCTTTTGGCACACACTCTCCCAGAATAAGCTAAATGTATATGGCTTAGATGACACAGAAGTTCCTTTACATGGTTTCTATTATAATGGTCAGTTTTCTTACCTGGTAATTTGTATTTATAAAAGTAAAGAGCGGTAAAACCTGTGTATGATAATAACACCCCTGTAATTTGAAAATCTCCATTAATGGAACCATGGGCTTTCAACTAGAGTTGAAAGCCCATGATGGAACACTATCAGGGGTTTCACTAGAATTTCTCACAACAGGCTAAATAATTGAAAATAACAGGTACAATCAAAGGAAGTCATAAATTTAATGTGGAAAAGTCTCTAAAAACAACAGCGCCTTCTGTTAATTGAAATCCCTGACTATTAAGAGACCCATTCTTCATGAACCTCTGCAGGTGGAATACCTCCTAACTTGAACACTATTTTGACATACCAAAGGCGTTACATAATATGTACTGTAGATAGGTTTTACTCATTCTTGCAGCAAGGATATGAATAGCATTTTATATCTGAATTTAAGCATAAATGAAGTCCTTTGAAGAAGGATGGAATTTACTGTACTACCATTTTTGTTTAGGTTTTTCATTAGATGAATATTGGACTTTTTCTAAGTTATAGTCAGTTATTCAGAAAATCTTTGGAAGTTTGTAGTCAACTGAGCCAAGGGCAATATTTTGTCTTGTGATATTGTCTTTAATCATATATGAATATATTTTCATATTCTAGGCAATGCAGATGGGATACCATGTAGTCTGAATCTTGACTACAATGCCTTTAATGAGTAAGTACTTTTCATAAAATACATACAGATTAACCTGTAAAAGTAAACAACTAGAAAACTCTAAAAAGTGGATGCCATTTTGTCAAAAGAATAAATATTTCTCTCTGGATAAACCATTAGCAGAAGGCAACAGGCGATTTTCACCGGTTGTTTTCACAAAATCGCGTGTTCTTTTTAGGGACTTTTCCCTGTTGAATTTATGATTTTCATTAATTTTTTCTGTTGTTTTCATTTATTCGAGAGAAATTCTAGTGAAACCCCCGATAACCCTCATAATATTTTCAGACAAGCAACCATACCTCCCAAGAATTTCCCAGCACATGGATCTCTTTTTAACACTAACACTATTGATGCATTCAGAGACTCGGACAAGAAAAAACTTCTTGAAACTGCTGGTAATAAAGTAAGAGAAATTTAATTTTGAGGCATTTTTGCCCACTCCTTGTAGTTGCTGGTTATAAAAAAAATGCCTAGGGAATGTTATATTCTGATTTATTAGAATTTTGATTTTTTAGAAATGTCGCATTTTTAAAGCTGTATCATTGAATCTTATATTTTACAGTAAAACCTGTAAATATTGAGTATTTTTTGCTGTCAAAAAATGTTCAGTGTTGGTAGGTGTTCACTAAGACAGGTTTTACTGTATATCTCTTTTATTGACTCTTAAGATGACATATTAGTCAATACAAAAACAAACTACACTAAACCACATTATCATTGTACAATGCAGTACAATGCCAAGTTTTTGTACAATAAAGAATACAGTTTAAAAGACTTTGATCTTTGATTTTTTGTACTGTTTGTTTTGTATTTTTAATTTTATTATTGTACATTTTATACTTTATATTTCAGATTTGGGCTGATATCATATCAGGCAAAGCATTAGATGATCCTTCCCTCCTAACAAGGTTTCATTTGCTCACATTCGCAGTATGTATAAATATTCTTTATTTCGTAAGAATTTGGAAACAATTACGTAGAGTTTTGAAATCCCTGGAATTGATATATACCAAAGTTGAAATAGATAGTCAAAATAATTCTCTGATGGTCAAAATAACTTTCTGATATTACAACCCGAGAACAATGATGTGAGTAATGCATTACATGTTTTTGTAGTTGTAAATTGTACTTTGTTTTTTAGGATTTAAAGAAATACCATTTCTATTATTGGTTTGCATTCCCCGCATTGAGCCATGATGTCACAATGGTAAAAGAACCCGTCACAATTGATGAACGATTCACAGAACAACAAGTAAGAGACTGGTATGGTAAATAAACTCCAGGTTTCTTAAAACTCTTCTCGGAGAATTCATTAGTCTATTTTCATACTTGGCATGAAGTATAAATCATATTTGTGAATAAAAATGAAGATTGCTTTAATCAAAAAATGGTATAGAAATATATCATATTGTATTGTATTGTATTGTATTTTGTTTACCACCAATGAAGGTGAGCAATACCTCTTCAGGCCCGTAAGACACTTTTCTCCAAGGGGGGTGCGGTTTTTACTAAAGAGAATATAAAATTGTCAATTTACTCCCTATATTGGGGCCATTCAGCCTATTTTGTAGTATTTTTTTTTTAGACTAAATATTGAATGAGCAATGTGGAGAAACACTGGAATAGGGGGAAGGTGTGCTAGAAGGGCATTAATGTTACCCGATACTTTTTACCAGTTCAAAATCACATTCAGTGATTTCTGGACACTTTAAGGTGTTTTAATCAATAGAATCAATTTAAAGAAATTCAGATTTTTCAATCATTTTCTTCTTAGGGTAGGAGCGAGGGGGCAGCACAGGAAAATTCTACTAATTCAAGATGCTGTCTGATTAATTCTGAGCACTTTTAATGTGTTTGAGTAAATTAATGCTTTATTTTTTGGGGTGGGGTGCCAAAACTTTTATGATTTCACTTGGTGACTGTTTAAGTGTCCAAACTGTCCAATTGTTTTGTATGGGGTGTGAGGAGTGGCCCACTCCCCGTAGAAAATTTTACACTTTTGAGATACTATTTGATGCTTTCTGGGCACTTTCAAAGTGTATGAGTCAATAAAAAATGTAAATTCTTTAGGGGGTGTCAAAGAGGATGAGAGGGTGAAGTGTGGGGTGCCAGAGGGGGACCAAGTGGTTGTCCCCTAGAAACATTGACTACATCAAGGTGCTATTTGATGATGTCTGGGCACTTTAAAAATATCTGAGACAATAAGTGAAATTTAGAATTTTTTCAATTGTTTTGTGGGGGATTTGAAGGATGGCCAACTGTTCAAGAAAATTTTACAATTTTAAGATGATATTTGGTCCTTCTTCTGAGCACTTTTAAAGTGTATGAGTCATTAAAAAAAATATTTAAAAAAAACAATTACAATTTTTTCAAATTTTGAGGGGAGGGTTGTCAAAGTGAGATGCCAGAGGGCGATGTGGTGTTGGGGTGCCAGAGGGGGAGCAAGTCTTTGTCTCCCATATCTGTCCCCCAGAAACACTGACCATATCTTGGCACATTAAAAGTGTCTGAGACAATACATGAAATAAATTCAGAATTTTTCTCAATTGGTTTGTGGGGGAAGTGATGGGTGGCCTACTTCACTAGAAAATTTTACAATCTTAAGATGCTATTTGGTGCTTTCTGGGCACTTTCAAAGTGTATGATTCAATAAAATATTTGAAAAAAAATCACATTTATTGTTTTTCTCAATTTTTTGAGGGTTGTCAAAGGGGGGGGGGTACCAGAGGGGGGGGTTTCGTGGGGATGCCAGAGGGCGGGTAAAAATCATTGACTATATCAAGGAGCTATTTGATGATGTCTGGGAACTTTAAAGTGTCTGAGACAATACACAAAATTCAGAATTATTTCAATTGTTTTGTGGACAATGTGAGGGGTCAAAAATCCTAGAAAATTTTACAATTTTAATATGCTATTTGGTGCTTTCTAGGCATTTTAAAGTATATGACTCAACAAAAAATGTGAAAAAATCAAAAATATTTTCAATTTGGGGGGTTTAAAGGGAGGGGGCTGCCAGAGAGTGAGGTGGGGTGTTAGTCTCCAAGAATCATTGACTATATCAAGGAGCTATTTGATGATGTCAGGGCACTTTAAAAGTGTCTGAGACAATACATAAAATAAATTTTAATTTTGGTGCTCTCTGGACATTTTCAAAGTGCATGAGTCAATTAAAACATTTGAGAAAATGACAATTTTTTCCATTATTTGGAGGGGTGTGAAAGGGGGGGGGGCAGAGGGAGAGTGGGGGGTGCCAGAGGGGGAGGTGGGGTGGTGATGCCAGAGGGGGAGCAAGTATTAATCCCCCAGAAACATTGACTATATCAAGGCGCTACTTGTCTGATGTCTGGGCACTTTAAAAGTGTCTGAGACTATACATGAAATAAATTCAGAACTTTTCCATTGTTTTGTGGGGGGTGTGAGGGGTGCCCCCCAGAAAATTTTACAATTTTGAGATGCTAATTGGTGCTTTCTGGGCATTTTCAAAGTGTATGAGTCAATGAAAATTTTCACATTTTTTGGGGGGGTGTCAAAGGGGGGTGCGGTCGCACCCATCGCACCCCCCATCTGACGGCCCTGCTCTTGGGTATGTCCCGTATTTATACGGTCGTAATTTACGTAATTAACATGGAAGATAGACCCAGAAACCCTTCCTTGAAGGAGCCCTGTGTTCTTTTATGTGCACTTATATATAGACATACAAGTACACACCACAGCCTTTTGTACGAGTTGCGGACCACTCAGTCAAACACCCTGAAGTACTTCACGCAAACAAGCAAATTTAGTCTTGCCTGAACCGGGGATCGAATCCGGGACCTATTGCGTAAGAGGTACCTGTTCTACCGCTGAGCTACACGGGTGGACTATTTTTGAAAAAATCACTTATTTATACTCCGAATTGTTTGGAATGAGAAATGTATGAAATTTATTTTAAATGACTTTATAAGTTTCACTTTATAAGTTTCAGTTTCATTTTGAAGCTAGAGGAAGCTTTGTTTGAAAATATTGTTAACTTCATTCACTAGCTTTATGAGGTCAGGATGACATCAGATGTGACGACGTCTAATCTAATTTTAGCATTATGTTTTTTATCAGCAAACACTTATAGAATACAAAGCCGAACTTGACTTTTTATCAATGAGATTTTTCAAAATCTGTTGGCTCGATTTCTTCTGAATATTGAAAATATGAGTAAACACTTAAAGTTTAAAAATATGCAATTGTAAACGTACATGTTTTCATTTTCTACCATTGATTTTCTACCATCTAAATAAAAGATGTAAATAAATAAACCACATCAGAATAACAGAGTATTAAACTTGCAATAATTAAGAACTGAAAAAGATCTATGAGAAAAAATTGAAAATTGTTTAATTCCTGTTCACTAATTTGTAATGATATTCTTTGAAATTCCCATTCATTTTTTAAGTAAGTGTTCTGGTACCAGGAATGTGTTTAATTTATCAACCTTGTCATATGATGTGATTACCAAATGTATTTAACTGGCCATCTTTTTTCCCATGACCTTTAATAAATACATTGTAATGCAAACTTGAAATGGGATGATAATATTAAATCTTTGAGAAAAAATGAAAAAAACTGTTTATTTTTTGAGTTCACATAATTTATGATAATATTCTTTATAATTCCTATTTTTAAAAAAAGTATTAATTTAAATAAAATATGCATACCCTTTTGTTGTATTGCGCAGCCTGTGTGCTCCATATAAATCCATATAAAATTATCTTAACTATTTTATTCATTTTTATAACCACCAAACATCTCCCAATTGCCAAATTATTCTAAAAATCTCCAAAAGATTACACTCTACATTCAAAATCCTAAATATTCAAAAGAATACAAATAATTCAATTAATTTTCATCCATGTCATGCACTCTTATGTAACTGACCAAATATGTGATATAATACCATGCATTAATTCTATTGATAAACTTAAAGGTACCAAAAGGTGTATAACAGTTACAAATTGTACTGGACAGTCACACTAGGGGGGCCTAGCTAGTCTGGGCAGGTCAGGAATTCAAGGGCTTCATCTGAGAAATTTTATCACCTTTAGAATAATTGGCCAACTTAAATAACAAACAGAGCAAATGTTTTTGTGTTGTCTTTGACAGTGGTTATTTGCTGATTTATTTTTGTTTTTCTGTAACTTGACTGCAGACAAAAATTTATCCTACTTTTCAACTAAATTTTTCTATTTTTCATGTTTTTATTATCAGGATATTCAGCACTTTTTAAGTGATTTTGGCCATTTTTGGACCAAAATTGTCACAAGTGAACCCCCCTGGAATTTTTCAAAAAGTGAACCCCCCCCCTTGGCAAATCCTGGCTACGGGCCTGATGTTCAACTTCACCATCCTCCTAAGCGGGTGTCCAGAATCTGTAAAAGAAAAAGGTAGTCTTGATTAATTTTTGAGCCCTGCGTAAGGAGGATGAACTTCACCTGAGGATAATAGGTTCATCTTTGAGCTCTGGAATGTGCTACACTGTATATTGTCATCATCTTGTGTGACGTTACTGTTTGTATTCCAGATAGCCAGCTTCCAGAGTTCACTGGACACATATTCTCAGACTACTTCCCCAAACTTCTTTATTGCCACAGAACAAGGAAACACGTTAGAAGTGCACACATTAGCATCAATCAAAGAATTAGCTTCTAAACAAAAGGTATTTAATTATTTTATGCATTACATTATAAGTGTTACAAACTATTTCTTCCATGTTTAGTTTTTGAGGAGGGTTGAATTGAGATTCTAAATTTAACTATCCCCTCCTGGCTATCCAAAAGAAAGATTATTGCAAAATTAACAAAATTCAATTTTTAATTTTGTTTAATCATTGAAAAAAAGTTAAATGCTTTGACATAATGAAGATTACTCATGCCTCACTAAAATAACAGACTGAACTATTATTGAAGATGTTACATCAGTCCAATGATCTATTTAAAAATTTTCATCCATCCCTCTGGAATTTTTTGATGATCCACTCCCGCTGTCATGGTTTCTGTATTCCAAGCCATGACCAATTGTGTGTTGTTTTTGGCTCACACAGTGAGCCTATGGGATCGACCGGCGTCCGTCCGTTGGTCCGTCCATCCGTCAACATTGGCCGCACAAATTAAAACTGCTATTCGGATTGAGTCATATCCACACTCATTTTATGCATATCCATAATGCCTATTTGACCTATCATCGCCATTTCCAAAGTTCGCCCGGTTTCCGAGAAATTTCTGATTTTGACGCCAAAAAGTCAAATTTTCTGTAAATACTAGACACTTTGTTGAAGTAGAACTTTCAAATAACTTTTAGTAGTTGCTGTATATGCAACTTATGTCCTCTGAAGATTTCAAAGCTCTTGGAATTACAGTTTTTGGTGTTTACTCTATAAAATTTGACAAAAAGTAGGACTTCGTCATTTTCAGGAAACTTTCTCATGTATAAAGTCAGTGGCAGGTTTTGTGATTGACAAGTTTCTCAAAGTTTGCCTTATACTTGATCATTTCTTGCAATGAATTACATCATAACTAGATTTAAGCATTCCCTACATGTTGCTCAATATATGTCAGCATCAAATTTTTACCGTTTTTTGATATTATGTTTCAACTTGCTTCAATTTGACCAAATTCTTTTTGAAAATCATCTACAAGTTACCAGGAGTTCAAATCTGACATTAGTTTTAGGATTTGACCTTTACTTGACCTTCAGTGACCTTTGAAAGGTCAAAAAAGTTGATTTTTGGATGTAAATTTTGGTCAGCTTAATCACAAAAGACCTTACTGAGCTCTGAATAAGTAAAATTTTCAAGGTCAAAGGTCATCAAACTAGGTCACACAACTGTGCTATCTAAGTTTCTCAAAGTTAGAGACTACATATCCAAAACAATATTTTTGTTTGAAAGTCAGGATATACATTCCTCTAAAGGTTCCAAACTGTGTGAGCACAGGACCGTGGGTCCTATTTTTTAAATATTTTCAGGTGATATTATGTTTTGCGGATCCATGTACATTGAAGTCTCACCCTGGTTGGCCCTTGAGAAACCTTCTTGCTCTTATAGCAACACTAGGGTATGTATGTCAGGATATGATTCGAGCAGAGATATGTAAAAAAATATGTTATTGATATATCTCTGATATGAGCACTTAACAATAAAAATAATTCTGATAAATTCTTATGGCTACCATTTTTTCAACTGCCATTCAGAGTTCTGTGATTGGTATTGTTACTTAGCATTTGTAACTAATTGTCACACTTTACCTTCAAGCATAATATTTTGAAATTAATTTTTTAGATTGCGAAAAATACAGACATTGTCAACTGAACAGAACTGATACAGTGAACTCTTAATGATATATATATAATCTTGCAATCTATTTCAGGCTTGATACCCTAACAGAGCTGGATGTGATGAGTTACAGGGACAAAGTTAAAGATGGGAAAAGATCTATTTCACATAGTATCATCTTTACTGTTAATATACCTCACCTGGATAGCAGTGCAGGTAAAAATGAATTTATATATTTTTATATTATTCAGGGAAATCGATCTGATCCAAACGCCACTGGAACCGGTCAGTTGTGTTCAGATTTGCAGGTGTTTTAACTTTCGAGGTTCTTTAACTCCTTGCTGGCCAAAGCTATTTTGAGGTTTTCTGCTGGTGACTGGCCATTTCAATAAAAAATTGATCAAAATGCCATGTTTTCATTTTAGCATTTTAATGGACTGTATCAACACCCTCTTTGCTATGTTTAATACAGCAATGACAATATGATGACAATATATTTCCTTTGCACCCAACAGTATTCCCCATGTGACCCCTACAATATTTCAAAAGATTATTAGTACAGATTGTGTGGCAATTATTGTACAGCACCCCAAGATATCTTGGGGTTGGTCAGATACAATTATGACGTCATAGACAAGATATTTCGGGGTTGGTCAGCAATGAGTTTACATGGAAGCATATGAAGTATATGGCAAATTAAAAAGTGTGACCAAAAACGCATTCACTTTAGAAAAGTTTTTAATTTTTGTATTTAGTTCTTCTATTGACTTGCAGATATCAATTTTTTCTAGTTTGCCCTAAATGTGTTGGATGGGAGAAAAATGAGAGACAGAAACTTGGACCTAGAATAGTAAATCTCAGTTCTTCTATGGATGCAACAAGGTAATGGAATAATCTTGAACAAATATGGATAAAAATAAATATATTTATATGGTAAGGAGTCAAACCTGACAAACAACTTTACACATCAGTTTTGCTATTTCAGCTGATATTCAGTCAGTTAGCATATATATACAAGGGGTTCAGTTTTTTGAAAATTCTGACAATTTAATAATTTTGGCCCAAAATTACTTGAAATGTGCTCAAAATGGTGAAAAACTGCATGATTATGATTGAGAAAGAATTTTTGGCCAGGGGGTTCACTCAGACCCCCTAAGTACAGAAACATATATTTGAAACAAAAAAATGACTCAACATAATCACTGATCAGAAAGGGAAGAAAGGTATCCAGTTGTCAGCTTTTGCTGGAAAATGCTTTTTCCACAACTGGGTATCCTTAACTCTAATTTTGATTATAAACGTCTAAATTAGAAAACTGTTTTATTTTCAGATTGGCTGAGTCATCAGTTGATTTGAACTTAAAGCTTATGCGGTGGCGTCTCTTACCAGACCTAGACCTTGATAAAGTGGCAAAAACAAAATGTCTACTACTCGGTTCTGGAACTCTAGGGTGCAACATTGCTAGGGGATTAATGGTCAGTGTAAAGAGTATTCCCAGTATTGTTAACTTTAGACTGCCTAAATACAGTAAAACCTGTTTACCCAAACACCTCTCTAATCTGAACACCTCTCAATGTGAATGCTATTTCTGGTCCTATTTTTTAATTTGCCAAAGACTGCCATATTAAAAAACTTTAAAATGCCCGATAACATAAGTTGTTGAAGCACAAGGTGTGAAATTGCAAATTTAAGTTCTCATCTCCATTGAGGGTGCACTCTTTGCAGCTAAAGCAGAGGAAACTTTTGTACAATACGAGTTTTCCAATTTTCAACAGATATGGGATAAAAATTGGATAAAATTCAAGTAAACTGCAAATGAACAATTTTGTTATGTGGAGGAGGGTTATGTCAACAACTGCTGACATTTGGTCATACAGTAAAACCTGTATAAGTGGAACACCTTTGGTACCCCTACAAACTGTTTTACTCGGAAGGTGTTCAAGTCAATTTGTCTTGGGACTCTGAAAAGTGTTTCACTTACAGAGGTGTTTCACTTGAAGAGGTGTTCCACTTGTAGAGGTGTTTCACTTGAAGAGGTGTTCCACTTGTAGAGGTGTTCCACTTGTAGAGGTGTTTCACTTGTAGAGGTGTTCCACTTTACAGGTTTTACTGTACTTTAAAACAAAAAAGAATGTTACAAGCGTTATTGCAAAATGTATATGAAACAACCCTGGATAGCAATAGTATTTGCTACTACAGCTCGGCTGTGGTGTATTTAGCCCTTTGGCTCAGTGATAGAGCATCAGACTTTGAACTTAAGGGTCCTCGGTTTGATTCCCGCATGGGGCATTGCATTTAGCACACTCTCTTTCATGTCTGTATCTGTCTTGTTACACTATGCTTAGCAGTTGGCTATTCCCTAGAGTCGCCCTCATATACGTACGTATACATGTATTGTTCTTTCAGTTGAGAACTGTAAAAATCAGAAATCCAATTGTATATTTTTTAAATCAAGTATTTTTATTTTGCATTTTAGGGATGGGGAGTTCGCAACATTACACTGGTGGACTATGGCAAGATATCTTACTCTAATCCAGTCAGGCAATCTTTATTTGAATTTGGTGATAGCTTACAAGGTGGGAAACCTAAAGCTGAGACTGCTGCTGAAGCAATGAAGAGAATATTCCCTGGTGTTGTGAGTAGGCATTTTGTGAAAATATGTGAATAATATGTGGAAACTGTGAAAATGTGAGTTAATGAAGAGAATATTCCTTGGTTTTGTGAGTAGGCATTTTGTGAAAATATGTGAAAACTGTGAAAAATGTGAATCAATCATTTACATATATGTAATGCCTTATACAGTTATATATATTGATATGACATGGATGATATGAATTGTAAAGTACAACCATATTCCATATTGTTGAGTTTTCTTTCATTTTTCAGAATGCTCAAGGTGTGAGTCTTTCTATTCCAATGCCTGGACACTCTGTAGCCAGTAAGTTAAATCAATGTTTACTCCTATGCTAGTAGTTGATTTTCTGTACCAAAACCGCCCTAGCTTATCGCACGTCACAATAATATGGAATTGGGGTAGTTACTTATAATTAAAACTATCATCTTGATATCATTTCAAATATTCAATTGAATTAAAAAGATAAGTTATGTCACCACATATCGTTATAGTCTCCAACTTTTTTGTAGACAGAGGCTGGTGTTTGGCAGTCAGTGTCTGTAACAAATGGCAGGTAGTGACATTTTGCATGTTAATGGCTTATATTGTATTTGTCATTGTTTGATTTTATACTTGCAGAAAATGACATGGAGGCTGTTCGGAAAGACGTTGAAACTTTAGATGCCCTAATTGACCAACATGATGTAGTTTTTCTCCTAATGGATACTAGAGAAAGCAGATGGTTACCAACATTATTAGGAGCTTGTAAGAGAAAGGTGAGCTAATCATGCCAATGTGGTTGTACTGAGTATTAATTAAGAGCATTTACAGAGTGCATCCCCCAATCACAGGTCTTCAAAATCCAGAATATATTCTTTCTTTTTACCCCCTGGGATAAGCAGTTAGCATTTCCCCGATTAAGAACTCGCAATCTGATTGGCTGTAGCAACACTGCGACAGAAATCATGTATAAGTCATTGCGCATAATTGGATCACATGATTCAGTTTAATCGGGCACTTCCAAATTGGTTATAGCAGGGGGAAGAAGGAGGTACGGATTCTGGATACGTGCTTAGGAGGATGACAGTTCAACATTGATTGAATGATGATGAATGATTCATTCAAAAAGTTCAAAGTTCATTCAAACAATACTGTGTGCCTTAAACTTCCAACAAGAGTGTAATTGATTATAATACCTGTCTAGTGTCTATGTTAAGTTTAATGCTGTATTGTGAAGTTTTATTTTGTGAAATTTTGTGACATTATGAAATGAAAAAATACATGTACATAGTAAAATGTTGTAGTCATCTACTTACAGGCGCCATCTTTTATGTAATTTATTTATAACTAATTGTTTTATTTTTCAGATAGTAATAAATGCTGCTTTAGGATTCGACACATTCCTAGTTTTACGTCACGGCTTGAAACCTCCGCCAAACGAAATGGAAAGTGAAAGTGAGGCCAGTGCAATACCCATGACGTCAAACATTCCCGGAAGTCAACTTGGTTGTTATTTTTGTAATGATGTTGTTGCCCCAGGTAATGTAAGTATACAAATATTGCCGTTAACCTTTTTATCAAAGTGTAATACGTGTGTTAAATGTCACCTCCATATTTTTCATATAGTTTCCTCACTTTTTATTTTGTAAATGGACCGAGTAAAGAAAAATCTTAACTTAAATCACTGTTCATGAGCTTGTCTCAACTTAAATCACTGTTCATGAGCTTGTCTCAACTTAAATCACTGTTCATGAGCTTTCATATTTTTCAGTCTACTAAAGACAGGACCTTAGATCAACAGTGTACAGTATCTAGACCTGGAATGTCCATGTTAACCAGTGCTTTGGCTGTGGAACTACTAATATCAATACTTCAACACCCTGATGGGTAAGATAACTTTACCTTGTTTTTTATTAATATTTTTTGTATTCAGTCATTTCGGCTTCCAGGAAAACCTCTTAATTGTTCAACCTGAAATTTATACAGATGCAAGAGAAAACTTGATCCCAGTCCACTTGGAGTTGCATCTTTAAAACATGATATACACCATATTTTATTCATATTAGATATACGTTGCACACATCCCCTTTGAAAAATGCAGGCTTGACATTGATTTTTTTAACCTGATAAATATTTAAACCGAAATGATTAAAATGCTTTTTTGTGTTTTAGGGGTAATGCTCCATCGGATACCAGTGCAAAAGATGAACATTTGACACAAGACCATGCATCACCCTTAGGGATCATACCTCATCAGATACGAGGATTCCTTTCAAGATTCCATACTGTATTGGCAGCGTGTAGAGCATTCTCTCAGTGTACTGCATGTTCACCTAAGGTATGTTATATTGGCAGCGTGTAGAGCATTCTCTCAGTGTACTGCATGTTCACCTAAGGTATGTTATATTGGCAGCGTGTAGAGCATTCTCTCAGTGTACTGCATGTTCACCTCAGGTATGTTATATTGGCAGCGTGTAGAGCATTCCCTCAGTGTACTGCATGTTCACCTAAGGTATGTTATATTGGCAATGTACAGAGCATTCTCTCAGTGTACTGCATGTTCACCTCAGGTATGTTATATTGGTAGCATGTAGAGCATTCTCTCAGTATACTGCATGTTCACCTAAGGTATGTTATATTGGCAGCGTGTAGAGCATTCTCTCAGTGTACTGCATGTTCACCTAAGGTATGTTATATTGGCAGCGTGTAGCATTCTCTCAGTGTACTGCATGTTCACCTAAGGTATGTTATATTGGCAGCGTGTAGCATTCTCTCAGTGTACTGCATGTTCATCTAAGGTATGTTATATTAGCAGCGTGTAGAGCATTCCCTCAGTGTACTGCATGTTCACCTAAGGTATGTTATATTGGCAGCGTGTAGAGCATTCCCTCATTGTACTGCATGTTCACCTAAGGTATGTTATATTGGCAGCAAGTAGCATTCTCTCAGTGTACTGCATGTTCATCTAAGGTATGTTATATTAGCAGCGTGTAGAGCATTCTCTCAGTGAACTGCATGTTCACCTCAGGTATGTTATATTGGCAGCATGTAGAGCATTCCCTCAGTGTACTGCATGTTCAGCTAAGGTATGTTATATTAGCAGCGTGTAGAGCATTCCCTCAGTGTACTGCATGTTCACCTCAGGTATGTTATATTGGCAGCGTGTAGAGCATTCTCTCAGTGTACTGCATGTTTACCTAAGGTATGTTATATTGGCAGCGTGTAGCATTCTCTCAGTGTACTGCATGTTCACCTAAGGTATGTTATATTGGCAGCGTGTAGAGCATTCCCTCAGTGTACTGCATGTTCACCTAAGGTATGTTATATTGGCAGCGTGTAGAGCATTCTCTCAGTGTACTGCATGTTCACCTAAGTTATGTTATATTGGCAGCGTGTAGAGCATTCCCTCAGTGTACTGCATGTTCACCTAAGGTATGTTATATTGGCAGCATGTAGAGCATTCTCTCAGTGTACTGCATGTTCACCAAAGGTATGTTATATTAGCAGCGTGTAGAGCATTCCCTCAGTGTACTGCATGTTCACCTTAGGTATGTTATATTGGCAGCGTGTAGAGCATTCTCGCAGTGAACTGCATGTTCACCTAAGGTATGTTATATTGGCAGCGTGTAGAGCATTCCCTCAGTGTACTGCATGTTCACCTAAGGTATATTATATTGGCAGCGTGTAGAGCATTCTCTCTGTGTACTGCATGTTCACATAAGGTATATTATATTGGCAGCATGTAGAGCATTCTCTCAGTGTACTGCATGTTCACCTAAGGTATGTTATATTGGCAGCATGTAGAGCATTCTCTCAGTGTACTGCATGTTCACCTAAGGTATGTTATATTAGCAGCGTGTAGAGCATTCCCTCAGTGTACTGCATGTTCACCTTAGGTATGTTATATTGGCAGCGTGTAGAGCATTCTCTCAGTGAACTGCATGTTCACCTAAGGTTTGTTATATTGGCAGCGTGTAGAGCATTCCCTCAGTGTACTGCATGTTCACCTACGGTATGTTATATTGGCAATGTACAGAGCATTCTCTCAGTGTACTGCATGTTCATCTAAGGTATGTTATATTGGCAGCGTGTAGAGCATTGCCTCAGTGTACTGCATGTTCACCTTAGGTATATTATATTGGCAGCGTGTAGAGCATTCCCTCAGTGTACTGCATGTTCACCTAAGGTATGTAATATTTGCAGCGTGTAGAGCATTCCTTCAGTGTACTGCATGTTCACCTAAGGTATGTTGTATTGGCAGCGTGTAGAGCATTCCCTTAGTGTACTGCATGTTCACCTAAGGTATGTTATATTGGCAGCGTATAGAGCATTCCCTCAGTGTACTGCATGTTCACCTAAGGTATGTTATATTGGCGGCGTGTAGAGCATTCCCTCAGTGTACTGCATGTTCACCTAAGGTATGTTATATTGGCAGCGTGTAGAGCATTCTCTCAGTGTACTGCATGTTCACCTAAGGTATGTTATATTGGCAGCGTGTAGAGCATTCCCTCAGTGTACTGCATGTTCACCTAAGGCATGTTATATTGGCAGCGTGTAGAGCATTCTCTCAGTGTACTGCATGTTCACCTAAGGTATGTTATATTAGCAGCGTGTAGAGCATTCCCTCAGTGTACTGCATGTTCACCTAAGGTATATTATATTGGCAGCGTGTAGAGCATTCTCTCAGTGAACTGCATGTTCACCTAAGGTATGTTATATTGGCAGCGTGTAGAGCATATCCTCAGTGTACTGCATGTTCACCTAAGGTATGTTATATTGGCAGCATGTACCATTCTCTCAGTGTACTGCATGTTCACCTAAGGTATGTTATATTGGCAGCATGTAGAGCATTCCCTCAGTGTACTGCATGTTCACCTAAGGTATGTTATATTGGCAGCGTGTAGAGCATTCCTTCAGTGTACTGCATGTTCACCTAAGGTATGTTATATTGGCAGCGTGTAGAGCATTCCCTCAGTGTACTGCATGTTCACCTAAGGTATGTTATATTGGCAGCGTGTAGAGCATTCCCTCAGTGTACTGCATGTTCACCTAAGGTATGTTATATTGGCAGCGTGTAGAGCATTCCCTCAGTGTACTGCATGTTCACCTAAGGTATGTTATATTGGCAGCGTGTAGAGCATTCTCTCAGTGTACTGCATGTTCACCTAAGGTATGTTATATTAGCAGCGTGTAGAGCATTCCCTCAGTGTACTGCATGTTCACCTAAGGTATATTATATTGGCAGCGTGTAGAGCATTCTCTCAGTGTACTGCATGTTCACCTAAGGTATGTTATATTGGCAGCATGTAGCATTCTCTCAGTGTACTGCATGTTCACCTAAGGTATGTTATATTGGCAGCGTGTAGAGCATTCCCTCAGTGTACTGCATGTTCACCTAAGGTATGTTATATTGGCAGCGTGTAGAGCATTCCTTCAGTGTACTGCATGTTCACCTAAGGTATGTTATATTGGCAGCGTGTAGAGCATTCCCTCAGTGTACTGCATGTTCACCTTAGGTATGTTATATTGGCAGCGTGTAGAGCATTCCCTCGGTGTACTGCATTTTCACCTAAGGTATGCTATATTGGCAGTGTGTAGAGCATTCTCTCAGTGTACTGCATGTTCACCTAAGGTATGTTATATTGGCAGTGTGTAGAGCATTCTCTCAGTGTACTGCATGTTCACCTAAGGTATGTTATATTGGCAGCGTGTAGCATTCTCCCTGTGTACTGCATGTTCACCTAAGGTATGTTATATTGGCAGTGTGTAGAGCATTCTCTCGGTGTACTGCATGTTCACCTAAGGTATGTTATATTGGCAGCGTGTAGCATTCTCCCTGTGTACTGCATGTTCACCTAAGGTATGTTATATTGGCAGCGTGTAGCATTCTCTCAGTGTACTGCATGTTCACCTAAGGTATGTTATATTGGCAGCGTGTAGAGCATTCTCTCAGTGTACTGCATGTTCACCTAAGGTATGTTATATTGGCAGCGTGTAGAGCATTCTCTCAGTGTACTGCATGTTCACCAAGTAAAAATCAAGTAAAATGATCCAGAAATCACTCATTCTTGCGACTTTTAATGGACTGATAATTTATTATTCAATTTTTAGGTGATGGAGATGTACGAAAAAGAAGGGTTCAATTTTCTGTTGAATGCTTTTAATGAGACGGGATATCTTGAAGAAATAACTGGACTGAAGGAGCTTCATGATGAAACAATACTCGATGAGGTATGTCACATTTTATGGAATGTACTAAAAACCATTCGACCCTTCGACTTACTGGGTATCAAGAATTCGTAGGGCGTATGGTCGAAGGGTTTTTAGTACATTCCACATTTTATGTATACAGTAAAACCCGACTCATCTGTACCGCACTGGAATCCGCTAAAAATGCTCAGATTTAGAGATTTTCACATTTCAAGGTTTTTTAACATGGTCCCCGAGCCGATGTCAGATTAAAAATGGGACACAAGAAAGTGTTTACATTGAGAGGTGTTCAGATTAGATAGGTGTTTTGATATACATGTTTAACTGTATTTAGTGGAGTATTAAATTTGATTAAATTTGATCTTTAACACTTGACTTTCTCTAGTATCCAAAATTGTAGACATAATCTATTTCATCTAGCCTATGAATTACCCTCTGTCTGTGTGATCTTTTTTTAAATTTTACTAAAAAGGTATGTCAAAAGCCTGGTCAGCAGCAGGCGGACAGCCACATCTAACTTTCTTGTCTGTTCATTTTAAGACAATTTTCCTGTGTGTTGATTTGAGATATTCAGAGGTATATAACTTTTATTTCCCTCATTTGAAGATTTTGAGACTTTGAACACAGTTGACCTTCATATCGTAAAAGGAAGTTGCTAGATTGTTAATAGTTTTTGTGAAGCTGTTGAATTTGATTTAAAGGAATATTCCTTGCCAAACCATTGCTCTCCTCATATGGTAGCTATAACCATATATATGCTTGCCATGTTTAGCAAAACACGCAAAAATGTTTTGATATGGTCAAATTTGATCACTTAGAAATGTGATGCTCAATTCCAGTAAGCTGCCATCTTTTAAAATTTCACACAGGAAGTGATGTCATCGACTCTCAACTTTGCATATAGCATTAGGTGAGGAGCTATTAAGAATTACAAAACCAGCTAAATATTCTTTTTCAACTTTGTATCTTATTTAGTCCTTCTGAAAATCTCTTCTTTTATTCCAAGTTGACAAGCCCTGAAAATATTTTTGCACAGAAAGTAATGATCAGTTGTCTAGAAGTGATTTTGTGCTACTTTCCTATACTGTTATGGGCAAGGTTATAGAAGTTGAGAGTTGATGACATCACTTCCTGCAAGAAATCTTAAAAGATGGCAGCTCACTGGAAATAAGCACTAGATCTTTAAATGATCAATATTGACCATATTAAAACATTTCCCCATGTTTTGCTAAATATGAAAACTATATATATGATTATAGCTACCATATCAAGAGAGAAAAGGTCTGGCAAGGAATATTCCTTTAATGCTAAGCCAATCACCTATCAATCAATGCAATTTAATAGAGTACTGTTCTTGCATTTAATTTCAAATATTTATTGCATTTGAGTATATGCATTGCATTAAGTTGCATGCATATATGTATTGCATTAAAACGCATGAATATGTACACATAACATTAGAGTTTATGTATTGCAGTTGAGTATGTCGACATTGTAATTAAAGACACAAGCTATGTATGAAAGCATTTTTGTTGCAGGTTTGGGAAATGAGTGACGATGAGAGCATTAGCAGTATATAGGATAATGATGCAGTATATAGACAGCCAAGGAGTCACATGATTTATGCAATGACCAATGAGGAACTTCAGTGTCATTAAGGAATTGTGATGTCACTTACCATAGCAACCATAACAGTGCTTCTTAAAAATATTTGCAAACTTTTCATTTTATAGGTGCAAAGTAACAAAAATGCTAGAACCTTAGTTTTTGGGCACTCTGTAATTATAATTATTTTGACTGATTTGCCAAAGAATGTTTATTTATACTGTTATAAGAGAATGCAGAACTGATGATTTTGAACTGATGAAACTATTGGTCAGGTTTTCTTGATTATTTAATACTTCAGTACCTCAAATAATGACATTTATTCACCAAACCCCTTGATATGAAAATAGGTGTGATATCTAGATATTTGTGATATTGTGATATTTAGATTGAAGAGCGATGTAAAGAGCGACCAAGTGATGTATGGATACAAAAACAACTGCTGCACTTTATGCCATTTGTAATTCCTATCGTCAAATGAACTTCAATCATATGAGAAGTATCTTAATGTTGTTGTTGAATTAAACGATGTTAAATTAACTTAGTTAGGCTGAATCACTTGAAAAAACCTCCCAATAATTCTTTTTATGATAGAATCACCAAAATTGGTACAAGTGTAGCTGATTGTAATTGAAAAAAATGGCTTGAGGCAGCAAGTGATCAGGAGCCTCGTTTTGGAAAAAATTCAAAATGGCTGCCAGCCTATTTGTGATTTTGCCGATTTCTATTAAAATCTCAAGATCCTCTAACATAAACATATTAATGAAAACTGCATAGAAACCTCAAGAAGTGGCTTTGAAATTAATCTTTATTGATGATGAACTGATATTTAACTTGAGTTTCAAATTTAAAACGGCGTAAAACAAGGTTCAGTATTATGACCTGTACAATTAAGTTCATAAATGACATATATTCATCAAAAATTGTTAACCACATACTGAGTACTTACATAATATTGGATAACAAGAGAATATATTCAGCCACATATCCAAAATAAGGGGGTTATTATCCCAACGAACGAAGTTCGGTAGGGATATAGTGAAGCCCTCCGTCCGTCAGTCAGTCTGTCCGTCCGTCCGTCCGGAAGATAACTCAAATACGGGTTGACGGATTTTCTTCATATTTAGTGGAAAGATGTATATTGGTGAATAGTTGTACGCAAAAAAAAATTTTTTCAAGATGGCCGCCATTTTAAAAATGATGGGACTTTTTCGCAAAAACCATAAATTTTTCATTCTAAACCAAAGTAATTAATATTATTGTTTGAAATTTTGGAAGTATATTCGCAACATCTATCTATTTCACATATATTCCGTGTTTTTCATCCTGACCCCCAGGGGCCGTGTATGGGGGGTCAGGAAAACAGTAATTTTCGCTAATTTTTAGATCTTTCTGAAGTATAGCTTTATTACACTCAAATGAAAGGCAATTAAGAGTAGATTGCAAATATTGTATCTTTTTTCTGATTCGAGCCTCGTAAAATTCAAAATGGCCGTCTTATGTACGATTTCGCAATAATTTTTCGATCCCTTCAAAGTATGGCTATATTATACTCAAATTGAAGGAATTTTGGAGTAGATCACAATTATGGTATTATTCTTCAGATTTTTACCTCAGAAAATTCAAAATGGCTGCTTTGCAGGAATTCGCAATTCTAAAATCTAAATTTTTAAATTTTAACCAAAGTAATGAGTATAATTGATTGGAATTCGGTAATTGATATTTTGTTCGTTGGGATTTGCTACTCCGCGGAGTTGCCATTGTCTAGTTGTTACAGTGGATGGTGCAAGACCGGATGGATCCGTAAGCGTCTTCTGCTGTTAACTCCCACCCATTATGGAACCCATAATGAGATACCATGTAATGATCCACTGATAATTGCCAACAGATTATCGAGATTTTTAAACTTCAAAGACCTAATTACAGATGGCCTGCGGTTGAATCTAATCTACTAATTAAATAAAGAGCCCATTGGTTCCCCTTGGTTTACATGGGAATGATGATTTTCAAAAATTCATCTTTAGAAGAAAGGGAAATTGGTAAAATTTGGAAGCATTGGAAATGAAGTCAAGTTACATTTTCATCAATATTATAAGTATTTTCTTCGCAGGTTATGTAAATAAAAATTCAAATGTAAAGAGGAAGCAGGGAGCTAAGGTTGCCAAACTTTTGGAGGGGAGTGTATTTGCCAGAAAGACGAGAGGATTAGCCTACCACAAGTTTCAAATCGTGTGTCTAAAAAGGATTTGACAGCATTCTTTAATAAGCTAATAAAATGTTCATTTCTCAAAAACAAATTAACTTTTATACATGTTATAATGATTCACAAGTTCATCTAAAATGTTTTCATTTCTCAAAACGTTCATGATTCTCGTCATTAATGATAAAATGAGCGGAACGGTGATAGAAAATGGAATGTTTTCAAAGTTTTTATTTTCAATTCAAAGAAAGCACAACAAATAAGTTTTTCAGCATTAGTTGTTCTTTATTTGTTGCAAGGCATTGAAATTTAAGAGAGATGTTTAATGTTAGAGCCTTCAGAGCACAGTGGATATTTTGTTATTTCAATTTTTTGTTTTTTTAAATATCAGCCTATGTTTCATTCCATTAATACAATACTATTTGTCATCTGTCACTTCTATCGTCAGTACCAATTGAGAGTATTCGTGCAGCCATTACGACTTTTATTGTGCGCCATGATTAATAAGTATCATATCTTCAAAAATATTTGCTTTTGAATATACTAGTATTCAGAAACTAACTGTAAGTTCATGAGGTCATTATGAACTCCTCTATTACAAAATGAAATGGCAGATAAAATTCTTTTGATTTGGATTCTTTTCAAAAATCATCTAAAAGTGTGGGAATAGCATGCCAGAATTTGACATATTTTTGAATGATGAATTGGGAATGACGATTTTTCAATGGTATCTCGTTAAAAATATGTTCCTTAGAGATATGTTGTAATTTGCCCTTACAAAAGTTGTCTCAATGTATTACCCTTGATTTGGATTTCATTGAACAATTAAACAATTGTTATATAAAATGTATGATTTTGCTACCAGATTTCAATATCTTTCAGTAAAAGATTCACCAAAAACTATTTCAATATAGAAAATCAAATTGTTGCCAAACTTTTGGAGGGGTGTAAATTGTATGTATGACAGATACAAAAAATACTTTTTATGTGAGGTACACTGATGAAGGGGGAGATTTGTGGATACATAAAAAATCGAACCCCTGGTCACCAATTGCTGGCTACGCCACTGGTGTAGACGCACCAATATTCTTGCATAGTAAAAGCATTCATTATTCCATAGTTAGCATGATATTCATAGGATAACATGTGAAAATAAAAACCGTATTTTTGTAATCAGTGTTAAATATGATATTTTTGACAAATTTTCACTTAACCATAACATACGGTTTTTTAGCGATGACATACGACGTCGTATGCGATATGGCTACGCTCGCTCGTGCAGATATCATATCCATTCGTGCATAAAAATCATATCACTCATAAATCATAGGATATCCTCTATATATACAGTTAGCAAGTGTAACACAGGCCTTGAGTTTATTGATTTTCTCCCTATATCATGACATGTATAAGACGCAGAACAGATAAACGTGATTCATAAATGCAAACGTATTTATATGAGTAAACAGTGAGTGAAATACTAAGGAAATGAAGCAATGCCAATATTGCTTTCTATACCAATGAATGCTACATGCATGTAGATTATATTGAATATAATATTAATTTGCGTTTGAATACAACGCTAACCATACTTGACAATCATAAACAAATATAGCAAAAATAATGTACATGCAAAATTGATATGTTCAGCAACACAGAGTATGGGCACCAATGAATCAAAGTCTAGAGATGGATCCAAAAGCTCTACAAAAGTCATCTTAATGCTTTTGATACTAGTTATCACATGTATCATGTGGATTGTTAGTAAAAAAATATGGGGAAGCCAAAAATTAATTTTGCAGCAATTCAAAATAACAGCGGACAAGTTGAAGAGCACTGCAGCACCAGTTGATGGAAAAGATGCTATCGAAATTCAACAAAGAATTACCAATGGTACAATTGCTACAATGAGTAATATTTCAAATGAGGGACAAGATAAAATCGTTGGAAGAGCTTGGGTTTCTGCATCAAGAAAGGGAAGGTTGGGAAACAACATGTTTCAATTTGCGATTGTTATCGCAGTGTCGAAACGCAATAACATGACTCCTGTTTTCCCGAAGGAAATTCTAGATGGGATATTTAACATTGACCGATCTGGGATTTTATTAGATCAAGAAATGAATAACTCTTTTCCGACAATTTCAGTGGAGGAGAAAAATAATTGCAAATATGATAAAAATATCATGAAAATATTTCCTGAAAATACCAACATTAAGCTGTGTTGTTATTTTCAGTCGTGGAAATACCAGATTGGAATCCATGAAGAGCTGAAACGGCACTTTACATTTAAATCATTAATTGATAATATAGCTGAAAGTTTCATCGAACAAGTCCATAGAGATTACAATAGGAACATGGGAACAGGACCTCGGAATAAACAACTCACATTGGTTGGAATACATATACGGAGGACTGATATGGCACACGCTCAAAAACATAACCCAAACGCTGGATTTGTGGTTGCACCGAAACAATATTTTGAGAATGCGATGAAATATTTCAAAAGCAAACTTAAGCAAGTTCATTTCGTAGTATGCACTGATGATATAAAGTGGGCACAAAATAATATTCCATCCCCAAATATTACGTTTTCCACTGGTCATTCACCTGGGGTGGATCTCGCAATATTGTCACACTGCGATCACGTGATAATGTCAGTTGGGTCATTTTCTTGGTGGGCCGCATGGTTATCTGGTGGAGAAGTTGTCTATTATGACGGGTGGCCAAAGCCTAACAGTTCATTTGCTAAAGGATTTGAGCATAGTGATTATTTTCCTCTACATTGGAAACCAATGTTTTGAAAATTCTATGTCACATTCATGGGCGTAGCGCTATATTTCTAAGTAGTACGCCACCACGGAAAAAGAGCTGAGCAAAGCAAAAACGAGTGTTTAGGGGGGACTTGGGGGGGGGGGGGTTCTCCCCCAGTAAAATTTTTAAATTTGCTTGTATTTGGAGTGAATTTGCAACCATCTGGTACGCTCTAAGATAAGCACTCTGAGATTCAAATTGGTTCCCAATTAAATGAATTTGATCTTTTAGAATTAATTATGGATTTAATTTATGTATGTCTGTTATTATTCTTATTCTTGATGTATGATACATTAATAAAACATTAGTGTCCTATTTGCTCAATATGTTGACATAAATATGTTGACACAAATTACTGTACACATTAGAGCATGAATTCCATGATTAGATGTTAGAGGCCACATTTGCAAAAAATTCAAAGTATCATTCAGAAAACTAGGATAGAAAAAATAAATATTTAGATATATAATCTTTCATCTAAAAATGAGAATACCATTATTTTATCATTGTATTTAAATTTATATATGCGATAAAGTTGCTTGTCATAAACCGGAAGTAGCTGTCTGCAAAAAGACAAGATGGTGGTATAAAGTGTTTTGCATATCTGATTATTAACATATTATTTATCGATAATTAGACTAATATTCTTTGTTCATTTTGTCTATGAAGTATTTCTGTATCCTATATGTGGAGTTATATTGGATATCTCAAATGGCAAAAAATAATTTTTGATGTTTGAAAACATGATCAAATCTGAACCTCTCAATTATGCGTTTTGTGATTCCGCCACGAAAAGAGCAAAAAAGTTTGTCAACTTTTTCCAGATAAAGAGATATCCTTTCTTACTAAGGATTTACTTTAGATAACACGTAACGCTCCTTTCTGTGAAGTTTTAGGAACACACGACCTCCTTATCCCTTCAAACTGCTCGTGACGGAATCACATTTAGTCACCCCACAGAGATATGACTGTAACACTTCACAAGGTGCATACAATGAGGGATATGACTATAAAGATGATATTTTAAATCATTTACACTGTACTTGATATTACTTGTATGGCCTCAATGGATGAATACAAATTCTAAAGTATTATTAATGCTAGGATCAGTATTGCTATTTTCTCACGTGGTACTTTGATGAGTGATGAACCAAACGTGACGGAATCACCTAAATTCCCATTGATTTTAACAATGTCACTTTTGACAGGGGAATTCAAAAGAGTGTTACGGTTCCTGAAGCCGTACGACCTACACGACGATATATTCGATGATAACATTCCATTGAATAGTTTATCATTGCACAAAATGTTAATCGTGATATTTCCTACACGGTTCAAAGTCAACTTCTTTTTATTAATTTTTGTCTCGTGATTCCATCACGCTTAAAATTGTGATTCCGTCACGGCATAATGATTGCAATATTACAATGCCAGAACATTGTAAAACACATGAACGGGTTTATTTCGTTGAACAATTGTCTTAACGATAGAATTAAAGCAGATATGAAATGGTATTTTTAACCTAAAGGAATCAATATAATTTTTTGATAAATGTATTTGGACATGTTTTCTCATCAGAAGTGTGAAAATTATTTCACTGTAACGATCGTTATAGCTGCTTAATAAGCAATATTCGAATTGGTTGTGACGTTATTGGCCCCCACGTGATCTCTCACTGGCCCCCACGTGGCCCGTTTTGGTCCATTAGATCATGACGTCATAATGCCAAAATGTATTGTTATTTGTTTACACAACAATCCTATGGTTGCCGTGACGTTGTGATCACTAAGGAATCAATAAACCAAAGCTATATTTTGTATATGACGTCACTAATCACGTGGGGGCCAATTTGATTGATCAGTTAGTTCTATTTCGCTATCTATGACCGTTAGCAGTTATTTAACATTTATTTTATAATGGCTATCGCAAGAACTCTACGTTGGGCTTACAATGGAGAAAACCGCATTTTTGTAGCTGCAAGTTGAGGAAAGCTATTTCAGTTGTCCTTTAAGTCAAAACAAGCACTCCAATAGGTCAAAATGAGCAGAAAATGAAAGACGATGGTAGTAGGGGGCATTTTGTGAAAAAGTAAAAGTGATTCCGTCACGGAGGAGAAAAAAGCCCGTAACAATAAAACCAATGTACGCACATTTATATTGACGTTTTTTATAGAAACACAAAACAACTCCGTTTCTAGAAGATCCCATATAAGATCAAGAAACCCCTGTATATTTGACAGATGGCCTTTTAAATGTCTTTTTTTCGTCAAATGTGTGATTCCGTCACGCTGGAATTCATGAGAGGCAGAATTAAAGGCAGATCTATAGGGGGTGACAAAATTACAAGCAACTTGTATAATTGATCCATCAATCTATTCCTTACAATATCAAATACAATATCTCCCAAAAGACTCATAATATGTTATAAATTGGTAAAGTTATTAATTCAAAGATTCAAAGTGCAAAAATGGATGAAAAATGTTTAATGGTAACCATTCTTATAGAAAAATAATACATTATTGTAAAAAATCTTTAGTTTTCCTTGAATAAAGTTATGCACTTTTGTGATTTTTAGAAAATAGACATGACAAAGAATGACGAGAGCCAAAAATATTCTAAAGTCGAAACAATTTTTTGTTTAGCCTGTTCGCTGTATCTGATTCTCTCTTTAACTTGAAAATTAAAACACTTCAAACACGTTTTAGTATATTATACTGTCAAAAAGATACTGTCTAACATTATTAAAACGCCCCTTTCATCTACACTTTTAAGTATAAAATTATATATAATAATAAACTAAAAACATATATATCATCCAAATAAAAGAGGTTATTGAGTATTTTTTTCTCTGGGATTATAGTTTTTAGCTCACACAGTGAGCCTATGGGATCGACCAGGCGTCCGTCCGTCTGTCCGGGCAATGACTCCCATTTATGATTCCTTTGGGCCCCCGTATGGCCCTTCTGATAGGCACAGGATGTTTGAATGTGAATTAAAAGCATTGTGTGGCCTAGCCTGAATGTGAATATCGACTCTATTTTGAAAATCTACAACATCCATGGTCTGCGCAAAGCGCAGCCAATCTAAGGGCTTATATTAAGGTGTCAGTACGGTAAATCATTGAAAAATATTGAAAAAATCACAAAATTCAAGTTCTGGGGTACATATCCCCATTTTCGAACGAATTAGCCCACACATTTGACTATATTTCTGCGTTCCCCTATACATAACCTTCACCTTGACACTATATTTAACATAGGGTTTGCTTCTCGATTTTTAAATATCATAGTATGTCTAATGTATTGATCAGAAACTTATCTTTCATTTGACACCAACAAAAGCTCAAATGGACCACATCAAAGCTTACAATAAATTATCAAAAAAATATTTTTCGATTTGTCAAGCTTTATATATCAAGTTTTTATTAATGTCATTGAAAGATGGCAAAGTTGTTTGTATTACACGATACATTCATTTTTATAGAAGTGTCGCCATCTTTTTAATCAATAGTAATTTGAAACATGCACTTTGTTATAACATGTGCATGCATGGCTTATGATCTCTGAACTTCAAATGCTTTTTTCTATGCGAGTTATATTTATATTTATTTTCTTGGTTCAATATTAAAGCAAATCAAACTTTTTGTCATATTTGAGCAAGTGTGTTATTATTATTTTTCTTCTAAATTAAGTATAGTGCGCCTTTAATGAAATGCCCAAAGGCTAGTGTTACACTGGTGATCCACTCGATTACGCTGGTTACCGAAACGGCTCGTTTCGGTAACAAAATGTCGGAACGTCGAAGGTACGATTTTTCTTTTTTCCTTATTTCACGCGTTGTAGGCAGAATCCCCACGACGTTTTTTCACACAAACGTGTATCAGTATCATATGTTTTAGAAAGTGTACATGTTTGCGAAGAAATAACTCAGAAGACAACAGAATCGTCGATTTAATTCCTCACTTAAGTCACATAAACGGTTTTGGTTAAAAGTGCAGATCTTAACTGTTTTTCGAAAAACCGTTTATGTAACTTTAATGAGGAATTAAATCGACGATTCTGTTGTCTTCTGAACTATTTGTTTGCAAATATGCACATTTTCTTAAACAGCGTAATCGAGTGGATCACCAGTATGTTAGTCAATAAAAACAATTTATCTCAACTGCTTTGCTGAATAAAGAGGATAGGGAATGAAGATTGTAATAGATAAACATATCGTCCTATATAGTCAGATCGCGATATTCAGATTATCTCTTTGTCAATATAATATATCTGAGACCAGAGAAAGTGGCAATTTTTTCCCCAAAAAGTTGATTAAATTCCAATTTTGAGTGGTCTTAATAAGGAATTTACAATAGATATTGACTGGAAAACGTGCTGCGGTAAGTTGCGCTGTTTTGTAAAAGTGCGCTTTATACTGAAAGTTGCTCGCAACAATGCAACTTTCTCTGGTGTCAGATATATCTTTCCTTGTGACCACTGACTCTCAGGTAAATTATATTGACCTCAGATAATCCTAATATCCTGAACCTCATGTTGGATAATCTTTATATACATTATTTATTTATGGGAGGGTACCTTAAGGGAAAACTAATTTTCTGTAAATTCAGACAAATAGGATTAGATAAAAAGGTTACTTTGTCTGGCAGTTCTTGTATTCTGGAATATGATAGATCAGAAGAGATCAGTTTTATAAAATGGCATATTACAATCTTGCATTTTGATGTGGTCAATCATTTAAAACTTAATGTCAGTGTGTTTAGATTCTTCAAAGAGGCTTTATGACATCAAAGTTCTTTTCAATTATGCAATGTAGAAAGTCCAGTCTTCTCAAATTGTTGCTTAGTGATCCACTTGTGTTGGATGTCAGGGTGTGCTGCCAATAAGGAACCGCCATTCCATTTGTCATTTTTTAGGTAAGCTGAAACTTTAACCCTGACATTCGTACCTGCAGGTGCTAATGCAGAAATCTCCTTCTTGATGCGATCAGCGATCCCTGCATTACCCAATGCTGTTCCACCTGTAAGAATGATGTTTGAAAACAAGTTCTTTTGGTATGATGTGTCCCATTTCATAATGCTTGCAAATATTGCTTGTGGTATCCCATCACAATTTATCCCAATTGATGAAGGTTTGAAAAGTGCTTCTGGTGCTCTGAACAGCTCATTGCCAATTGTGATAGATTTGCCATCAGGTAGCATATATGTGCTCTCAAGAAGCTCAACTTTCTTTTTCATCTGTTCCTCAACATCTAGCGCAACATAGCAAAGTTTCTGCTTGATGTCTTCACAAATAGCCAATTCAGCGGGTGTTTCAAACGAGTAGCCACGAGTGTTTAAGAGTTTGGCCAAGTATTTTGTTATATGAGATCCACCCAATGGAAGTCTAAAGCTTGTTTCAGGTAGAAGTTTGCTATCAATCACTGGAACGATACTGGTACCATCAAGTCCAAAGTCCACAACCATCCCACTCGTGATACCATTACTATACAACACTAGGATAGGTTGCCTAGCGATGTATAAAGCTGGAACTTTGAAATTCTCAAACATCATCCTGGCCAACTTTTCTCTGTTTGCGTCAGTGTTGTGCATTGGGTCTGTGAGAAGAACATTTTGATTGGTTGGATCAACTTTAAGCGCATCTCTAAATAATTCTCTCCAAAGTTTCTCCATATTCTCCCAATTGGTGATGACCCCATCTTCAACAGGGCTCTGTAAAGTAAACACTCATCAGAATCATACAGTATGGAATGCAAAATATACTGTAGTAACATCCCCCTCCCCCTCCAATCGAGAACCAATATCACAATCCAGGACCCGAACACCAAGGGACATTTCATTCATACTGAAGTCATTACAATACATGTTAAAGAAAAATTGAAAAATTGATAGCCAATACTCATAAAATCAAAAATAGTATCAGTACTAGTGGTGTCAATTAACCGCTTGAGCATTAACCGGTTAACCGGGGTTTTTTACCGGTTAAAGTCGGTTAACCGGCGGGAAATTTGAACTTATAATTTCAAATGAAATCTTCATCTTCGATCTTGAAAGTTGAAAAAATTGGAAAAATGATATATCGGCGTTTATTTTTTACGTTCGTCAAGCTTTACGCTATTCTATGTAAGTAAGCACGGGAAAGCAATATGGCAGGGATTAAAGTTGCTGATTGGATGTTTGTAAGGAATTATCGGACCTATCACATGTATAGCTCACATGAAACTGACGCTTGAAAAACAAACAGATTAAAATGCAAAGTAAGCGCGGAAAAGCAATGTGGCAGGGATTAAAGTTGCTGATTGGATGTTTGTAAGGAGTTATGGGACTTATGACATGTATGAGTAGCTTACGTGAAACTGACACCATAAAACCAAACGGATTAGCATGCAAAATAAGCACGGGAAATAGCAGAATTATACACGGTCAACTAACCGCCCATAAAAACTCAGACCGGTCAAGGCATTATCGGCGGTTAACCGGTTAACCGGTTAATACTTGACACCTCTAATCAGTACCTCAAGTGGTAAAATTTGAAATTTCAAAATTAATTACTTGTACTTTTCAGCAAAGCTTAGAAAGGATTTCTTAAGTTTTTTACAAGTACAACCTTGACCTAACAGCTTGGTAACTAAAATATGGGGTCTTGATTTAAAATCTAGATATTTTGAACACGCCCTGCTATATCTAATAAGCTGGGTTTAGTGGAGGTACAGTAACACATAAGGTATCATCCGTGAGAAACGGTTTCTAGGAACACAGGAGCTCTGCCTGATAAGGAATTTTTCAAGATGCCAGCTAAACTTCAAAAATATCCACCATTTTTCGTAAAAGAACGTAATCTTTGATAACTTAAATGCCAGTTGACGGATTTTGTTCAACTTTTATATGCTGATGCCTAAGACATTTTCAAGAGGTTTTGTATAAAAAACCTCCTACCTCATACTCACCTACCCACGTACGTTGGACATGATACAGTCTTTAAAGGGTTCAATTTTAAAGATCTTAGTTTATTAAATCTTAGTTTATGATGAATTATAGATGCATTTGTAACGACCCTTGATAGCAAGTTGCTTCTACAGCCCAGCTGGGTTCGATTCCCACTCGGGGCATCGAATTTAGCACACTTTCAATTTCTTTATCTGGCTTGTTGGACCTATGCTCGCGGTCTTCAGTTATTTATTCCCCCGGGGCGCCCTCGGGTCATTACACATTACAATGCACCCATATGCCTTTATTTATGGATCTGTCATCCGTCTAGTCACAAAATAAAGCCGGGATTGTAGAAATGTTAATAATCAGACCTATTCTGAGATTTAAAAATCTTTAAAATTGAACCCTTCAATGACTGTATCGTGTCCCTCGTAGTTGGGTAGGTGGGTATGAGGTAGGAGATTTTTTATACAAAGCCTCTTCAAGATGCATGGTTGCTGAATTTCAAAAATGACCGCAATTTTTCGTTATAAAACGTAATCTTTGATAACTCAAATACCAGTAGACAGACTTTGTTCAAATTTTATATCCTGATGCTAGGGACACACAGTGGCGGATCCAGGAACCAACAAGGGGGGGGGGGGCAAAATATTCGGTCAGAGAAAATAACTTCCGCGCTTGTAGGGAAAAAGATTTTGGGCCCCCTAAACCGAAAAGTGGGCCCAAATTTTGAGGCCCATGTTCTTCAAAATTTGGCCTGAACTTAGAAAATAAGGCCTAAGAAGGCCTAGTAATGACCAAAAAGGCCCACTTTTTGGGGCCTTAAGGACTTTTTTAGCCCAAATTTTTTTGGCCCAATTTTCTGTTTTCCCAATTTTCTGTCCCCCCGGATCCGCCGCTGACACAGGAGCTCTGCTCGATAAGGATTGCAACTGAATTTCAAAATGGCCACCATGGCTCTGAATATTCTTAATAAAGTTCTGCAGGTTCAAGTCAAAGTCAGTGACAAACCACAAGAGTTCCGTTATTGTACAATATATCAAACTTTCTAATGAGACTATATGTAGACAGTTGACTTACCGGAATGTCCCCAGCATTTAATGGGATCGTAACTTCTGGATCACTTTCTCCTGCAAACCCTGCCTTTGTATAGAGTGATCCACTGTCAATTACCACTGTGGCCATCCTTTGTCTGGATACTTTTCAGTCAGAGTGCTTTAGAAGTTAAAATCTTTGGTTTGTTGCATTTAGTCTTGTAATACTGTAATGGTGTATAGATTGGTATGAGAATTTATAGTCCCCAGATTGTATGTAAATCACTGAGTACAGTCAGAATGAGTCAGTGATGACAACGTTTTGATTTGAAAATATGAGATCATATCAATCAGTATTGTATAGGCCTATAGGTTAATTATTTTTGGAGGTACACAAATTGATTCCATATTTGGATATGAGATAGCCTGCTCAATACGGGTCAGAGGACATTTTTTGAAGTTGATCGATCATAGCTTCCTTATTTGGCGTACTCAGTATTATCATTCAACTTAAATAAGATTTGAATGTCCATGTAAGGTAATATACTTAATAATTAGGAGAAAAGTTATAGCCCAATGCTTTACAACAGATCTTAGATATTGTGTAACTGGTGTAAAAAGTGTCGGCTCTGTATAAACATTGATAACTCAAATATTGTACATTTTAGGCACAAAACTATTTAACTATCAGAGTTCGACTTTAAACTTGGGATCCCCAAAAAATTGTTAAAGATTACAAGTATCTTGGTGTTATTTTTAATGAACATGGCAGCTTTGTAAAGACAGCCACAGCGTTGGCTGACTCTGCTGGTCGAGCACTAGGCTCTTTGATTCAACGATGTAAAATGTCGAATGAGTTTGGTTATAAAACCTAAACAAAATTATGTAATACATGTGTTTTACCGATACTAGGTTATGGTTTAGGAGTTTGGGGATTTGACAAAAATGTTCATGATATCTGTAATAACATTCATAAGCGGGCACAAAGGTACTCTTAGGAGTTCATCGATTTGCACCCATTATGGGAATTTTATATGGAGTTGTTGGGTGGCTACCTCTTGAACTAATACATAAAGTAGAAACAATTAAGCTTAGACTTTGGAATAGGTTTCTAAGTTTAGACATAGCCCATGGTTTAGACAATGATCACAAATCACAAAGAAAATATTTTTATGGAGCAAATCAAATGATTCAGCATGAATTAGACAGGTCAGAAATATTCTTTTATCAGTCAGGCCCGTACCCAGAATTTTTCAAGGGGGGTTAACTTTTCCCAAAAATTCTAGGGAGGGGGTTCACTTTGGCATATTTGGCCAAAAATCACACAAAAAATGGTCAGAATGGTGAAAAACTGCATGATTTTGAAAGAAATTTTGCCCCTCCCTCTGGCTATGGGCCTGTCAGTAGATATGGGACAGGATTTCATTGATGAACAAGTTGCCCAGGGGTTCACTCCAAATAATTTGGGTAGGTACATGTATGTGCAACACGGCCAATTTTGGCTTTGAGCATGAAACATGGAAATTGGCCAATCTGAGAGGAAAAACATGGAAAATTGTCAGTCAAAATTCAGTTCTCCTACAAAAAATTGTATTAAATTCGTCAAATCAGTTGCTGAAGCCTGGAATATATCACTAGAAAAGTTGATTTTAGTCAATTATAGTCTCAGAGGAATTAAACATGGAAACCTTCAATCTTGAGAGGAAATTGACATGGAAAAAATGCTCAAAAGGGGGGTCTTTGGGGCGGCACATATAAGTAATTATTTGTAAAGCTAGGAAATGGGTCAAAAGTGAATTTCACGTCACAAAAATGGCGGCCATCTTGAAAATAGGCTATTGTTGACGAACGGTCGGACGCACGCACAGACAGACAGACGGACAAGTGAGTGATTGCAAAAGCTCACCATGTTAGCTAAAAAAGCACACTCAATCGAAGAACATGTAAAATACAACTGAATTCATAAAAACTGAGACTAACATAAATTGTTAGTCTCAGATAAAAGTGAAAATAAATCATTTATGATTTGTAAAATAAGTTTGATGGTCACTTTTATACATTCAATTTTTTTAAAGATTGATACTTATAACAGAACATGGAATATTATGCTTATTGCTGTAGTGTTGGCACATGTTTTAAGATAACCTAATAACATAGGTTCTGGGCCGATATAAAGATGGCAGCACCAACAGAATCGAGTATTATCTTTTTCTCTTTCCATAGCTAGGATTACTAGGAAGCTGATATTACTGCAGTTGATACTACAGCTACAACAGATACACATAGTCATGATGCTGATACTACATGTACAGCTAGCCACGAAGCTGATATAACTATAGCTAGCCCAAGCCTTGAAGTTGAAAGAGAAACACAGATAAACACAGATCGATTACCATGCCATCTTTATTTAAAATGATTTCTATCACTTAGCCTATGATAATAAGTTATGATGGTACTGCCCCCATGAAAGTCCAAATTGAGTCGCTAAAACGTGAAAAGTCTGCGATCAATTTTCATTGTATTTAGTTTTGATAAGGAGGGGGAGGGGTCCAACTCAAAACTAGATTTATTTAGTTTCCTATCAGACATTGAACTTTTGATGCCTCCCCTAGCAACTCTATGATTGGTCAAAACCAGGTTACATGTCAGGCCCGTAGCCAGAATTTTCCAAGGGGGGTGAGGGGGTTCACTTTTCCAAAAAATTCTAGGGGGGTTCACTTTGGCAAATTTGGGAAAAAATCAGTATGCCGTCCAAAAAATGGGACACTTGTAGATTCTATTTCGAAAATAAATATATTTTCTCGATGAAAACATGTCATATTATATACCAATGGATAGGGAATCTACTCATATATAATTTGGTATATCATAAGATCAAATTTATTATAATGTCCGTCAACCAGCGTCCATATTATAAATGACGTAATTTTCGTTTCAAATGGGGTTTCCAAAACTTGCAAAAACCAAGTTTCATTGTCAATTTGCGTAATCTTTGTTCAACATCAATACAGAAAACTCCCCCATGACTCCTGGTTCAAAAGCTCGCCTTTTTTCAAGATGGCCGCCATTTTTTGTCTCGAGAAATTCACTTTTGACCCATTTCCTAGCTTTACAAAACTCAGGTGTCCTGCATCGTAAAAAGCCATGTCAATGTGAAGAGTATTTGTATGAAATAATATTGTTCCAAAAATTATATCTGTTTTTTTTTTATTTTCAGCCATTTTAGTTAACATTGATTTGTCCATCTGTCTTGTGAAATCCACTTTTGGACCATTTGCCTTAAAACCTCTGTCGATAGGATTCCCGATTTAATATCAATACAAAAAACTCCCCTATGACTCTTGGTTCAAAAGCTCGCCTATTTTCAAAATGGTCACCATTTTTGTCTCGGGAATTTCAGGTGTCCTGCATTGTAAAAAGCCATGTCACTGTAAAGAGTAGTTAGTTGTATGAAATAATTTTGCTATAAAAAATCGGCAAAAAATTATATCTTTTTTTTATTTTCAGCCATTTTGGTTAAAACCTCTGTCGAAGTTATTTAAAATGATATCCGTTTTTTTATTTGTTGTCATTTAGCCATCATTCACTTTTGAGCAACTATGGGATAACAAACTCATATGCGTGTGATATCGTTTATCTCACGCATATCCGTGTGATATCACATTTGTATTTCGCGCCACAATATTGTTGGATATTAGGTCAGATAATTTATTCTCTTTTGAGAAAAAAGGTCCATTAATTTATTCTCTTTAAGTTTCATTGGTGTATTGAATTACGATTGTGTATATAATTTGAATAGGAGGCTGCTAACTAACGATTAAATAAAAAAGGTATTTATGACGAACTTTTACTTTTACTTGTTAAAATAAAGTGTTTCAAATATTCAATTGATATTCTAATTTCTAGTTTACATCGTCTGCCAATGTCCTGGAAATTGGATCAGAACATCACAAGGTGATTATAATCATGGGATAAACCCAATATCACATAATTTCTCGTGATATTTATTTTATCGCCTCGTAGATATAAAATATCAACACGAATGAGCGAAACGAACTCGGTGATAAAAATGATATCACTCAAAATAATGTGATATTCTGTATTTATCCCATAGTTGAGGTCAAATCTGTAGAATAACACGTATATATATTTATTCCATAGTTAGCATGATATTCATAGCATAACATGTAAAAAAAAACGGTATTTTTGTAATCAGTGGTAAAATATGATATTTTTGACAAATTTTCATTTAACCATAGCATACGGTATTTTAGCCATGACATACGGCGTCGTATGCTTTGAATTATGTTTTTTTGCTACTCCAGACTCAAAACGAGGCTAAGTGTCAGCATCGCCGGATCGTTTGGAAAATTCGAATTAAATCACTTAATTTCCAACGATTCTGATGATGACTTCAACTATGGAATAAAAAGAACATCCTATGATTTACTCGTGATATGATTTTAATCCACTCATGGATATTAATATCTGCACTCTCTCGCTACGCTCGCTCGTGCAGATATCATATCCATTCGTGGATAAAAATCATATTACTCATAAATCATAGGATATCCTCTATTTATGATATTTTGCAAATGCGTGGAAAAAGCGATATCTGTGGAATACGGAGAATATTCCACAGATATCACTTTTTTCCACGGATTTGAAAACTCCCGCAAATGTGACGTGCATTGTTACAATAAGCTTACATGGTGATTTCTTGACGTCACAAATATGGAAATGATTTATGTTTTGGCTATAGTTCAAATGACAAAATAAAACTGAATGTTGTTTTGAAATGCTTTGTTAGGTCATGAACGTATACCAACTACGTCCATGGTTAGGTGAACTATGGGATAAATAGAACATCCTATGATTTTTTCATGATATCATTTTAATCCACTTGTTGATATTAATATCTGCACTCATTCGCTACGCTCACTCGTCCAAATATTGATACCAACTCATGGATAAAAATGATATCTCTCAAAATCATAGGATATCCTTAATACTTATTCTCAAAAAGAAGCTGTATTCCACACACACTGCATTTTAAGATAGGATATCAATTTGAATCTTTTTTTTATTTTAATTCTAATAATATACAATCTAGAGGCTGTTCCTATATTTTGCTAAGATAACAACACCTTTGAAATTTCTTAGTAATTTGAATACAGAAATGCTAATATTTGCTTAAAGTGAAATAATTCAAAAACACTTTGTATCGTTAGTAAACCATCTTACTAACTATAACATGAAGATTCATAAATTTGGTTTACTATTAATATTTTCACAAAGAAATACTTTGAGACTAAAATATACATAAAGGCTACTACAAAGCTTAGACAGAAGTACTTCTATAATAAAGTTGCTCAATATAACATACATGTATGTATACTAAAATTCCAAACAAGCCCTAGCCTACAATAAAACACTTGAAAATAGTGTGTATGATTTTGTACAATGATAATTTGTATTATTTACAAATGCATGTTTGTTTCAAGTGTGAATGCAATGATTGTCTGATTGTATAGTTATAAATTTTGGAGGACGGCAGAGGCTTGTTTTACATGGAGGTAACTGTTGTGCCCTTTGTTAAGATATTTGTCTGATATTTTCCTCCCTTTATATTACATTGCCTCCCTTTATGCGAAAATGTCTAGTTTTACAACCAGACCCTTAGTTGATATCTGATTTGGGGAACATGATCATGCCAAATATCAGACCACCCAAGCATATTTCATGAAATATCAACACATTAAAAGGTGATAATGTATCCATTTATAGTTATACATTCATCCATAGTTCACAATCCATCTACTGTTTATACCTGAGAAGCAATTTATATTGAATCCTAAACCCATCTTAAGCATTCATATTAGTCCATAGCTTTGTTACATTGAGTAATTCCTTCTTTCCTCTTGGACTCTATGAGTTATTTGCAAGGGTCATGAAGACTCCTTCCACCAATGCACTATCTGCAAGGGCTATGTAAAACTTAATGTAACGGATGTAAGTATGATAAACTATTTACACATGTAAGAGTCATGAATGTCTGCCGCAATGAACCATTACTTAATGATGTCATTGAGTTTCGCTGAATGTGTGTATTTAAAGCTATGTACAAAGACTGATGTTGTGAGTTTATTGTTTGTTTATACATGGAGGTTCCGTCGCTGCATTTGTGCATTAAATTTTTTGTCAGCTCTGTGAGCATTTGTTGCAGCCCTTCTCTGCTCTCTGAAATACAATAATAACTCATTAGAATAATATTCATGTGTAACTCTTGCCTTGGCTTAAGGTACAGCTGGAAAATAACATTTTGGTAAAAAATTGCTATACCTGCACATGTTATTTTCTGGTACAAAATAAAGTATGAAGGCATGTGTCAATTTCCTCGCTTTTTTCAAGAAAGTATCATTATATTGTTTTCTTTTAGAATATCTGGCAGGAGTTCAATGGGAACTCCAGAAAATTCTGATATTTCACACTTTCTATTTTTCCAAATTTTCTTTCAAAGTTTCCAGACAACACAGGAGCTACCATTGACCTGTTTCCAGGTTAACTAAAAGTAGACAATGTAATGATACTTTCCTGAAAAACGCAAGGAAATACACAGATGTCTTCATACTTAATTTTGTTCCAGAAAATAACATGTGCAGGTATCACAGGCTGGTATCGAAAGATTTGTCCGCTGTGACGGAGCATGCTATTTTTCATAAAAACACTAAGAATGCTTCACGATTTATTTTTTAACTCATATGTTTCGTTATATCAAAGATAATTACTTACTCCATGCAATGGATATATCATTTGCGTGTAACCTTCACTTCTGTTTGAAGTCCCACAACGCTAGGAGTAAAATCTATTGAAAACGGCGCCAGAGTATCAAACTCTAAAATGTACCATTTCTTTTTTAACTTTTTAATGGCATGATATAGTGACACGATACTATTGACATAATGTTTTCAGCATAACTCTGAATGTATTAATGAGATATTAATGCACTGGGTCTTTTTAATTTTTTTATAAAAAATAATATTTATATTTTTTGTCCGCTGTGACGGAGCATTTTCACAGTTCACATTTGCAACTGCTCCGTCACAGCGGACAAAAAAAATAAACATTATTTTTTATAAAAGAATTAAAAAGACCAAATACATCAACATCTCATTTATACCTTCATAATAATGCTGAAACCATGTGTAAATATTATCGTGTCACTATATCGTGCCATTAGAAAGTTAAACAAGAAATGGTACATTTTGAAGTATGATACTCCGGCGCCATTTTCAATAGCTTTTCTTCCCAGCGTAATTGGACTTCAAACAGAAGTGAAAGTTACCCGCAAATGATATATCCATTGCATGGAGTAAGTAATTTTGTATGGTATAACGAAACATATGAGTTAAAAAATAAATCGTGAAGTATTCTTAGTGATTTTATGAAAAATAGCATGCTCCGTCACAGCGGACAAATATTTCGATACCAGCCTGTGGGTATAGCAATTTTTTACCAAAATGTTACTTTCCAGCTGAACCTTAAACGACAGTATTACAGATGTAAAATTGACTTGTTAATAGTATATATTATTTTTATTGAAGTCATACATGAGCAAGTATCAACCTGAGATTAACTTACTTTGTTTGTATTTTCGGACCCTTGTTTGCCAAATTTTTGTGCTCAGCTGTCTTCTTGCTGATTGGCTGGACCTTCCCAGTATAGGCTTTCCACGTCATAGGCTTCGCCAAACTGGCTTTCAGATCAAATGCTGGTTTTGCAGTGAATGTTGCGTTGGTCAAAGATGTTGTTGTGTTGGCCTTGGATGTTGATTTAAATGGTGTTCCTTAAAAATATAAATAAAATACAATGATGAGAAAAAATATATAACAAAGAGAAACAGAATCAGTACATAAAGCCATGTGGCCTTTTTCAAGAACTTGTGAACAAGAAAAGTGCTATCCACTCCACCTCAAATAAACTAATTTCTGATCAACCCAAAACTACTCATATGGACCTCATATAGTCTTGCATAACCTGTTAAGATCCTTTGATTTTTACAATGAACAAAAATCATGAAAATTAAGAAAATATATCAAACTGCGCCTATAATAATCATATCAGAAGGGAGTCATTACAGTTTTAGACTTAGTCATTAAAATGACAAAATGTCACCACCTGGATGCAATTACAAAATAGTTTTACAAGACATTATCAAACGTGTAAAATGCTTACACCAGTCACCACCTGCCATTTGTTACAAACATCAGCAACATCCACCGAATGCAAAACACCAACCATCACCCATAAAAAAGTTGGTGATTTTATCAATAACAATTACAATGTGTCACCGTTTCTCATCAACTGGCACAGATCAAAATTAACTAGCTACAGGCCAGCAATTTGGGCACATGTCAACCCTACATGTAGTATGAGACACTGATATAATTTGCTTCTAAGTGGAACACCTCCAAAGTGTAACTTACCTAGGTTTTTAACCTATAGTTAACCCATTAATGTTCTTTACCTACCTACAGATTTTCTCATTGTTGTATGGGATAGTGATTTTCTTGGTAAGTTCTCCTTTGTTGGTTCATTCACAGTCACCTTTTTAATTGTGTTAGTATTAACTCTTGGTGAAGCCCTTGTGGGAGTAGGGGCTTTCTTTGACACATTACCTGAAAAATAAAAATAATTATTTAAAGTATCAACAAAGACTTCAGTTTCAAAGGATTATTCTGAAATTAAGTCAAAACTCTAATTTTTCTATTCTTGGTTGCCCCTTTAAGATGGCTGAGTAGGGTCTGAAGCTTTTGTCTTTGTTTACATGTATGAAAAATAAAACAAGACATTTTAACATGAAAAATATCACCACCTGCCATTTGTTACAGACAATCACGCCAAACAAACTGCTGAGCACCAATCGCCACCACAAAAAAGTTGGAGACAATATAACACAGACACTCCAAGTGCCACGTTTTCATGTTTTTTATCACGTTTTATCTATCAATTTTTTAGCTTATCACGATTCATGTTTTGGTAATCAAGAATCACGGTAAAATAGACACTTTCACCCAGTTGTTTTTAACAATATGTCGTTGATTGTGTTGGCGACATAGACATGCCAACTTGATTTTTTAAATCATATAAAAACCTGTGTTTATCTGACGCCTTTTTTATTTGAAGACCTCCAATTACCCCTTTTTGGTAACAATATATATGCCATAAATGTGAATACCAAACTCTTTTGAGTGGTCCCAATTTTGGTGTTCAGATTAGGCAGGTTTTATTGTAATGATATTTATTTTATATCAATGTAAATCATAAACTGACTGGATTCCTAGCCTAATCAGAAGCATATCTGGGCAGTGTAGACACTTATTTACTCACCAATCATCAGAATTGTGTCTCAACGAGGTTTGACATTTTTTTGTTTGTTTGTACTAGCAAATCAAAAAGTAAACCTCAAAATTTAAAACAAATTGAATCTCTAAACTCTTTCTCATTTTTGGACCAAAACATTACAGTACAACTAATAGTCAAGCAACTTTGCGAATCTAAGCACAAACCTGCTGGTGTTTTCAGCTGGGAGAAGTTGAGGTTCAAGTTAGAGGTTGACGTCACTGAAGGTACAAATGGAACTCCACCATGGGCAGGAGATTTGAACATTGGACGGGAAACTCCCTTGGCTATTTTAGGCCCCTGAAATAGAGAAGGTTTGAGAAAAAAAGTGGCAATTAGGTCCACTGTAATATTTGCTTCATTATCATTACACATAAAATTGTGTATAATCAAGTTAGAATTATCAATACTAGTCTATACATGTAATTCTGATTATCATATGTAATCAGACATGTTAAATGTGATGAAACGTTACCTTGAGAGGGGTTTTATTTTTCTTGATTTTCTCAATGGTATTTTTCGCCTGGGCTGCCGTTATATTTGCTTTCTTCAGTGATGCAGTGATGGCCTCGGTCTGCTTTCGTTTTTTCGCCAAATAGACATCAATAGAATCCATCTTTTCAAATTGTTTGGCATGAATTTTTCCCCAGTCTTTGTTGCCTGGAAACATAATTTCCTATTTTTTAAAATCAGTCTTTACATTATTTCATTCATTCAAATAAGTGATAAAATTGCCCTTTTCTGAAAAATATTAAGAATTGGTTTGTGATATTTAAGTCTCATAGCATCATTATACACTATTTTTGAATTTCGTAGATTAAAATTCATCATAGAGAAATGAATCTGTCCTTTCCAAGAGGAATTCTCTCTCAAATTAGAATTCATAATTTTCTAGGAAAGCCATTGGAATTTACCCTCTTTAAGAAAACTTGACTTCACTTTTAAGAAGACTGATAAACCTTTGAACTCTGACAGCCAAAGAGAAACTATCACTGGTCAAATATAGATATGATAAAACAATAACATTACTGCAGTGCCCTTCGATTGATTGAACACCAAATTGTAAAATGATCACACTTGGTCAGAGTGTAGTACATTTGCAGCTGGTCCCAGGGTAATTAGAATCAAACCTACCTGGAGTTACTGGTTTCTGTTCTTGTTTCTTAGATGCCAAAAAAGCCGCAAAGCGTGGAATATTTCTCTTGGCGTTATCCAAGTTCTTTGGTGAAGCACCTATATAAACAGGCAAAGCAAATTAACGCATATTTAAAGCACTATGATTGTTTAAATGCAGGAGTAATCACTGGTATTAGTGATAACTTAACTGTAGAACATGCAATTTATCGATTCCATGCAATTTTGATGTCTCTGAAATTCAGAAAACTATTTTGCAGTCTGTTAAATATCTGAACTATTTCTAAAATTCACTGAACACGTTAAGCATATTTAACATATAGAGCATACGAAATTAGACACTGACATACAAGATTTAAGAAGCAGACCTCCAGCATGCAGCTTTGAAAAATGAGAAGTTTTCTTAGTGGATGCAAAAAAGTTGATCAAACGGACCATAAGTTCAGCATTTGCTCAATTTTCAAGTGGATGTAAGTTTTTTTGATATGGTGAGGTGAGGTTTTGGGTGTTGGTGTAAGGTAGATCATGACTTAGGACTGACTTACAGTGTTAGATATGCCTGAGTCACATTTGCTCTGATTCATCGGCTGGTGCCCAGCTGATTGAATGTTTTGTTCAAAATTGTATTCAGTTTTGAACAAAATACTCAATCGGGCGCTGGCCAATGAATCAAAGCAAAGATGCTTGAGGTCAATTCAAACTAAGAAATAGTCAAAATTTGAGGTGTTACCATAGTAACCATAGACAACAACATACTCACCCTTCTGTTTAACAGATTTCTCCAACGCAGACATAAGACTCTGTTTCATCTCATCTTTTGACATTTCACCTTTCATGGCAGAAGCGAGCTCCTTTGTTGTACCGCTGTTTTTCTTGGGTTCCGCCTGCTTGATTTCAAATGTACTTCTACGCTGTCTCTTAGCAACGGGAGCATCATGTTCTATACTTTCAACTGAAGTATCCTACAATTAGAAATAAAATATGTGAGAATAACCAATACATGAACTCACCTTCATTTATGCATTATAAAATCAGGTACTGAAGTAGGTTGTTACAAAGCACTGATGTGACAAAATGTCACCTGGTTGTAATTACAAAAGTGCAACGTTTGTCACAAAAATGGTTACTATAACAATATGTCATCACTTCTTGGGACTTGGTGGGTACATAAAATATTTACAGTTCTTAAAAATGAATATATATTGATTAAATTTTATTTTACCTTATTTATCTTTTTTACCTATAATTTATATTCAGAGTGGAATGAAGTATACTACTTCATCACCTATTATAATAACATTTGTTAGACTACAAACCTTAGTGCTTGATCTCTTTCTCTTTGGGGCTGGTGTTGCTTTCTTTGTAACAGGGGTCGCCTTCTTTGTAACAGGGGTAGCCTTCTTTGTAACAGGGGTGGCTTTCTTTGTTACAGGTGTGGTTTTCTTTGCAACAGGGGTGGATTTCTTTGTTACAGGTGTGGTGATAGCTTTATCAGTGGGAGTTTTTGTAACAATGGTTTTCTTTGTAACAACTGGTGTGACCTTCTTTGTAATAGGAGTTTCTTTCTTCACAATTGGAGTTGATTTCTTTGTAACAATTTCAGCTTTAGGAGTAGCTACTTTCGGGGACTTTGGTGCATCTTCTGTCTCTGATTCTGTATCAGATTTAGCAGATTTTTTCCCACGTCCTTTTTTGGCTGCTTTCTTGCCCCTTCCTCTTTTGGTCGCTTTCTTAGTTGTTTCCTAAACAAAGATATGCCTTATCAAAAACAATCCATGTAAGGTAAAATCATGGTGCATGTATAAGCAAGGAAGGAAAAATATATTGATCATCTACCAAGCCTTGCAGCTGATTTATTACAGTGTCAATCATTCTAAGGATTCCAAACCTGAACCTGATGCATTTGAATTACATACTTTGAACTGATTTTATGAAAGTCTGAAGTTTGAAAGATTTATGTTCGCTATCAAAATATACTAGTTTTTCCTTCTCTCCCAAATGTAACTAACTTTTGAGTTTGCATTGATATATTAACCAATGCCTTTCAAGAGTGATTTACCTGAGGTTCGGTGGCCTCATCTTCAGTAGAGCTGGATTCAACCTCAGGAAGAGTGACTTTGGTATCATCATTCTGGTTGAAGTAATACTCCTTCAAAGCTTTCAGAAGCTTGTCAGCCTGAAATGGTAAAAATGTTAAAATGAATTTAGTCAGGAGTAACAAGAAAACAGCAACTCCACGGAGTAGCAAACCCCAATAAACATCTAGTATTGACTCACAATGTAATATTTACCATCTACTCCACAGACTTTGGAGTCAAGATATTTCAGAATTTCCCAAAATTTAAGCATTTTTGTGACCATTCGAGTATATCATAGCCACAAAACATAAAGACAATATCATTTTTGTGATTTAGTATAATGTAACCAGGTATACTTTGAAGAGATTTCTAAATTATTGTGACTTCCTGCTTTAGGCCTTTTACTGTAGCACCAGACTAGGATTTTAATACAGGGGTTCCCCTCATAAAACTTACTGCGGATGTTCTCATAGGACTATATTTCTTGCACAGGATAAGAGACAACCTGATGTTCTCAGGCTAGAGTACATAGGGGTATTATCAGACACAGGGCAGTTTGGACGATCATAACATATTTTTGTTTTAAATGATTTCTTTATTGAGACTGGATCTTTTATTCGATAGGGTGATGTTTATTGCAAAGGCAAAAGGGTAGCAATAGGTTGCGTGTAATATTTAACTTATTTCAACCGTCAAACTCCTCCATTGAAGCCTTAGTAGTTCATCCGGTCCAGGCATGCACCAGTCATAAGGGGAATCCCCCTCCGATGAGCTTCCGCCACCTTGGAAAGTGCTTAATATTTCCAATTCAAAAACAAAAATCTCTTCGTTCTGCCGATAAACCCATACAATTGGTCTAGTTAAACTACACTCTGCCTAGTAGAGACCATATTACAGTTTAGTAGCCATGCTCCCATGACGGGTACCGGTGACAGTTTGGGTAATAAATCACTTCTGACCTACGCGCTGACCTTTCTCCCACCAGCGAGCGAGCTTGAAGTAACATACGCGAAATGCGTTCTAATTAAATAAGCGCATGTCATTGGTCAATTCCGGGCTCAACGATGACGTCATATGGTCAAATTTGGCCGACGAACACTGATTGGCGCGGTGAGTTCACAGGTTTATTTTAGTTTGAAAGAGTGAAGACAAAGCTCTCTTTTAAGAAGTGAAGTCAAACGAATGCAAAGGGTATACAATTGGCGGTTCAATTACATAAAAGGATTCTTCAATACTCATGAATGTATCAAGGTAGGTCATTTAATTATGCAATTCGAAGTAGTTTCCTCCAACTTTGTAAAAAGATTGACTGACCAATGATTCACGCGTATGACCACAAATGCAGTGGGGGTCAAAGGATGCGACATGCCCCTGATTTTCACCAGAGGCTAAGGGTTTGTCGAGGAATGACCTGAGTGAGAACGCCTCTAGTACCGTCCTATAGAGCATTTTCAATAGATGATATAGGTGACAATTTGAAACATATACATGTAGCCTAGCCTAGATCTAGGCTATCCATTTCTATTTCTGCCTCTGTAGCCTAGTCCGCCTCAGTGCCTTGCCTGAACATGAAAACTGAGAATGATTTGTTTACCTTCATATTAGCTTTGATTCCAGCATCCTTGGCTAGCTTTCTCAGCTCATTATACTTCAAATCTTCAATCGTATTAATGTCGAAATTTGTAGCCATTTTGGTAGGCTAAATGCTCTGAAAATCAAGTAAATATTGAGAATATTTCCTGAAAACTTTTCGAGCCTAAAATTTTGAATTTTAAAACGCGTCGTCTGATTGGTCTAGAAGTTACATCTACTTTGATTGGTTGTTATTAATTATGACAGACTTCAGAAACTTATTATGTTATATATAACAATATTTTTTGACTCATATGTTCAGAATTATTCTAGTCCAAAAATATGTTTAATATATATAGTGAATATGGAACAAGTACATCATTGAAAGAAGGACAAAAAGTATGCTTATGATATTAATATTGTCAAATAATTTTTTGTCATGGATCTAGAAATTTTGCAGAAAACTGAAAGTTTTTGACTCCCAAGCTTTCGGAAGTATTGTCGAACTTCTCAGGTAATGCTGCATGTTTGAATTAAATTTTATGGCTAATGAAATATATCTGAATGTTATTCCATTGAAAGAAACTTGATACATCTTTAGTCTACGCGCATATACTTCCTCTTGTTGATTGATATTTTTTCAGCTGCTGTTCAAATTGTCAGTTCAGTTCAATTGCCTGAGTTGGCAACGTTGATCGTAGTCCAACAACATTAGACCTAGCCTGGGCCTCGTTTCTTATCTGACATGTCTTATGGCCCCGGCTAGGTCTAACTTCCATGATGATTTTGCCTTTGTTGCGATCATTTAATCGTTCAGCAGGTTTCGACATGCGGAACTAATTAAACTCCGAAAACATGGTAATATTACATAAAGAATGTGATTCAAGCATGCATACATACCTTATAAATACATACACACCATCCCGTACCCCCCTTAGACCATATTGATGCATAATTACGAAAATATTGGAGACAGGTTTGGAATTTTACGAAAATATCGGTCAGCTCCGGTAACATCGAAATTGCAAATCGTATCAGGAATTAACCGTCATTGCGACACTGCATCAACGAACAGTAGGTTTGCAATTAATAACGATTTTGTGTGTATACAAGCGCTATATAAATCAATCAAAGATACCTGCTATCCTCAAAAATGGCTATTTTATCCCGAGTAATCGCGTGATAATTATCAATCTATTTGACAACAATTTCGTTTCAATAGTTTAAATTTTAACCCGGGACGAACAGACACAATGAAGGACATGCGGAAATGTCATTTTAGAGATTGGTAAGTTTAACCTCATTTTACTTGTATAAATGACCATTTAATACAATAATATTGTGTTGAATCGCTTGATGTTATGTGTTTTTATATTGTTGTCAAGTATCAGTTGCATGTTATCGCGGAAAAATGGTTTCGGTGGATCCAAAACTTGCATCAATGGAAAGAATAGTAAAGAGGTTAAACTCAATAATGGCCCCAAGAAAATTTTTAATAATAAATAACGCCGTTATTGAGTTTAACGACGTTGAACTACGTTGATCGTACTTATTTGTTCTACATGAACATCAACTGGACTTTTTGTTAATTTACTCATTATTTCCGATCGGAATCATGTTTACTGATATATACTTTATTACTTTGTACATGTAAGTTTCTTATGATGTATCAGTGATTCAGACGTTGAGCCACTTATGATTTATTACCATCTTCTCAGCATGTACAACGTCTCTGAAATTATCCATTTTGCCCTATTCTTCATTTTTTCTTTGTGTGAGGTAACTTTGGCCAACACTATGTAATGTTATATCTTGCCAACCTTTTGTCAGACGGCTGGGTAGAATCAAGATTGTTAATAAAATTGTCAAATCTGACAGAATTGAGTATCTGATGATGAATTACATTTATTACATTATGTGAAATTAAATATGTTTAGAATAGTTTGTAAACTGAATTATCACATTTGAATCTGTATTTTTATTATTTTGGATATTTATCACTCCTTCAAAAATTTAACCATAGTTCATTCATGGAATTCATTGAAATCTGGCAAATTCTCGGAACTCTGACATCACTTGAACAGAGGGTGAGAAGAAGAATATTTCTGAATTGCCTCCAATGTTTTGATTCATTTTTTGATTTTTCATAACTAGCTATCGAACAACTAAACACTAGACAGACACCATGTTACATTGGGGATCCACATAAGTAAGTACACTGAAGGATTTAGAATGCGCATTTGAATTTTTCAAGAAATCCAGCTTTTTGACAGACGAGGTATTGATCATGAATCCTACATAAATTTTAGGCCCATAGCATTAGTCTGTAGGTAGGACAAGCTAACCTCGGCACTGGCCAAAAATTCAATCAAATTCATCTAGTTTTTCACCATCTTTAGCACTTTTTCATTGATATTGGGCCTAAATTGACAAATATTATTGTATTGTATTTTTAAAACTAAATACTCCTTGACTAAGGGCCTGTAGTTTGTACCAAATTATCATGAAATCACAGATATTTCTCGCCATAGACTCTTGAAAGCCCATTATTCTCCCTAATTTTAGATTTAGGAAATATTGTGAAAAGGGATGGAATTGACTGTCATAATCAACCTATTCTAATGATTATTAATTGTTTGACTGGTCAGCCCCCCTTGGACTGGTCCATTCAGTTCTTAAATGTAGTATTCATTTTACATACCCAGATTTAGGTCAGGAGTACTGTTTTAATTTAATGATTAGAATAACTAAAACCTTACTAGAATGCAAAGATTGCTATTTATTAGCTAAAATAATTAATTAACAATATGACAAAACTGCTAGTTTTTTAACCATGTCTCGAGAAAATTTTGGTAAAAACCAAAGTTTCATGACAAGATTATCTCCCAATCAATGATTTTTCAAGTAGAAGCTTTATCAAGATACCAGTACTGTATGTATAATTGTATATATGATTCGATTAAATTAAATGGTAGAAAAAATCAATAAGTACAGTAGCATTTACATGTAGCTTCAGCATATGGTTCTCCTAAGCTCATGTAAAAAACATTGATTTTATTGCAAAGAATTCACGTGTAATAAATCAGTAAGTACTCAACTACTCCTATAGGATTTATTTAATCAGTCATGGCAATATTTTTGTGATAAGGAAAGTAAACATTGTACCGCCTTTTGATTCATCTTCCAGATTTTCGGCCTATAATTTTGAGAAATTCAGATTTTTGGGTTAGGGGGGGGGGGGAGTTAGGCTTGAAGCAAGTGTTAAAATGAAGTCAAATGATAAATTGTATCTTCATCGTAAAAGATACTGTAACTATTTTTCTCGTATTTTCTTGTACAGTATTTTTCAAGGCAGAAACAGGGCCTCAGAGTACAATGCTCGATGTACATCTATAGCATGTAACGCATGTTGTTTTGCTTATATACTGGTACTTCCTGTACCTTGAAATAATGAAATATAAGCTATTTTCTACCCTGTTTCCCTATGAGTTAGCTATATTACCCTCTGACTCTACAAATGATTTAACAGATTAAATGCTGACTAAAATTGAAGGATTTTATTGTGGTTTTCAATTGCATTTTGATTGCTAGCTTCATGAAGTTCATGTACATGATTATCTGGCTGTATACATCGAACATATAGGCTCCATCCGAGAAATATATCAAAAGTAGAGTTAAAATCTTTGAAAGGGTAGAAATTTATATTGAAGTCAATAAGCAAGGAAGAGTCACAAGATAATGTATAAACATGTACTAATCAAGGAGATGACAATATATCATTGACACAACTCAAGTAGTTCTGAGGGCCACATGGATTAAATATTAATTGAAATAATCATTAATAAATACATGTATTTCAACTTTTTGGGTGTCATGTATATACTTTAGAGGATGCAGGTTGTCTTCTATCATTAGAACACAAATTATAGCAAAATGTAATAATTAAATAATTATATACCCTCAGATACCCCCAGTAGTGATATTATAATACATCGTTTTCTGGAAAGGTAGTACACTTAAAAATGTTATTTTGGAATATAGGTACATTTTCTCCAGATTTGTGTATAAAAACACATGGTTGCCTCATTTCAATATAACTTTCACAATTGACAAATAGACTTGAAAAAACTGGTAGCTTAATATAAACTTAGTTATAAGGCAATAGACGCTAGCACATTTTCAACCTTAGTGTAGAACCTTGAATTATAGACTCCCTATCACAAAACATAGACTTGAGTGGGTACATGAAACTTAATAGCAGTTTGGTAGGACAACATGACACAGGTATGCACTTTACAGGATACATAAATATATCATTTATTTTAAACTTTAAAATTAGAAAGTTATGATAAAAACAGTTTGACTTGATTTCATTATATACAGGGTGATCATTAAGTTCTGGGAATACTATAGTTATTAATTCTGTCATTTTATTATCCCTTTACCAATTGAGATTTACATTTAGACATATTTTGAATGAAAGATTGCTTAAAGTTACTAATAACTGTTACATTTAGCAACATATAGCATGTCATTCTGAGTGAAAAACTGTACAGAAAGTTAAAGTGCAATATCAATGAACACAAGATAAAGTGATGAGGTTAATATGAATTTTTATATTAAAATACATGTATGTCCTTGTTTAATCATGAACAAAAGACTGCTTTTAGTTGTCTGCAAGAGTGATAAAACATATCCTTCACTAAAAATATCTGTGTATTCATTCTCTACTAAAATCTATAAAATCGATGCTTTCATCTGTGAAGATAGATTAGCACCACCAATAGGAAGAAGAAAATATTTACGCAAAATTTTCTGTTGTATTAGGTACATATCTTTATATGTCATATATGTAAAATGTATTTTTCACATAAAATGAATTCTTCACATTTGTGCTTCACACAGGCTGGCACCCCATAAGTTGCTAGTAGACAATAGAAGGGAAGGGGATGATAGCGGAGTTAGGCTTTTTTCTTTAGGGTTGGTAAATAAATTGAAAAACATACATTGAAAAAATCGGATATATACTATTGAATTACTAAGAAAAGAATATAAGATTTTGATTATTGAAATGAAAAACTAAAACTTTGGAAGGTAGAATAATACTGCGACTACCAGGCCTGTAGTCAGGGGGGAGTTTTGGAGGAGGGGTTGAGCGAACCCTTCCCTAAGGCAAAAATACTGCAGTATCAAATCATGCAGTTTTCACCTTTCTGGGCACTTTTCCAGTGATTTTGAGCCAAAATTGTCAAAAGTGACCCCCCTTGACAAAAGCTGGCTACAGACCTGACTACATCATCACAAAATAATATTGATATTCTGGGCACCGAAACAAATTGAGTAGAATCTTGTATGTTTACAAGCAGAGTTATTTTATCTAAAGGCTTAATAATTAGCCTCAATGGGGTACTTAGGCTGTTACTTAGGTACAATTTAGTATTCTTATCACAATTGGAATTGATCTTCGTGTGACATTGAAGCTAAAGGTTTTCTACGGCAAGGTCATGATAGTGATCGAGTCCAATGTTCTCCCTACATTCTGGTATGCCAGAGCCCCTCTTATCCGCCGTTTGGAAGGATAAAGACAAAGGGGGCGCGGTTATCGCGATGTTCTCCCTATTGATTTTCCTAAAGTTGGTGCAAAATCCTTAGTTTTACCACTTGGCCTTAAAATGCTTAAAATATTCAACGAATATTCAAATGCTTTTGAATTTTCTGATCTTCTAGTGGGTGCAAATGGGATTTCTTATGGGTGCAAGGTTATATTCAATATCTCAAACTTGGTGCAGAGCTTACTTGTCTAAATGCTGGGGAGATCAGTAAAGCAAGAGTGCAGTTGTTTTGAATTGACATTTCCAATGCACATTTTATATAACTGCGCATCGATTTTATAGATTTTTAGTAGAAAATGAATACAGATTTTTTTAGTGAAGGATATGTTTTTATGGGCTTTTTTTATCTCCCAACTAAAGCATCCTCAGCATGAATCATTTTTTTATTGGCTAGATATAACTTTTATTAGCTTTTGATATATACCCCATGGAACTTAACTTACTTTGGCTCTGAAATGTCAATCTACCATACAGTCCAATCCATGGCCGCAATAAATCTCCCAAATATGAGATAGTCTCTGCGTTTATATATATGGGTAATTACCTCATTTTTCCATGCTGTGTTTAGACTGGTCAAGAACAGAAATCAAGGTTGCTAAATAAGATGTAGCCAAGTTTAACCAGCAGGATTGACCAATATGTCAGCAGGATGTTAGATGTTAATTTGCACTTATGTATTATTACTTTTCAAACAGGTCATACATAAGATAATAGTTTTTAGCTTATATGGAGTCCACGAGAGCAGAATACTATAACGAAAAAAATTAGTGCAGAACTGACATATTTTATATAGCACATTTTAGCTGAATCTAGGAATTACGGGAGTAAATTATTATTTTTCAGGTGCATGTACTATGCACTTTTGAAATAATTAGCTAATTAGAGGTTATGTCACTATCGTGGCATATATGCCCGAGGCCTCAGTGATATATGGCCCAACCTTGGGAGGGACATTGATCTCTGAGAACCGAGGGCATATGTGCCACGATAGTGACATAAACGATTTATAACATACCTATGATGATGTAAACTGGTCAGAGAGTACCGTTTTCTTATAGAATAGACAAACAAATGGTTTGAAAATGATTGAAATGAGTTTAGAAAAATTGCTCGCGCAGTTATATCTTCGATTGATTGGTTATGACGTCAGCGCCTTGACCAATCAGAAAGTTAGCGGGCGCGGGCTTTTCAAAACTTATATTGGCCCGCTGTCTTTTGTACACTTTGCACTATACATCATCATAGGTATGTATAATAGTAAGTTACCTTCAGGCTGTGGTAAATACACTCTCAAAAATACAGATATTCAACTCCGCAGAATTCAATATTTGTAGAGTATTCCTATTAAAAAGATGTTTATTTTAGAAAGTATTCAAATTAAAAAAAGATCTAAAAAAGTGATACTATAAAAATTGAAGATACATTTACATTAGAGAATAAACAATAGAGACATTCTCTTTAAAATGGTGTAAACATTAGAGAAATTTTTACACAAGTGGTATTCGTGTAATTTGGCATCAACACAAAGTTAGAAAGTTTTAACTGTAAGGGCATGGTTACATCCCAAAAATTCACACTTACATATTACAACTGATGGCTTCAAGGCAAATTAATGAACACAAGTTTATCTCCTATACATTTAATAAACATAGCAGCCAGGTATAACTCACTTGACAGCTTTCGGAACATAGTTATGAGAAAATGAACAAGTGAGCAATGGACATGGTTTTGAAGTGGATGATACAGTGAAAAAGAGTGGAATAAGCAAAGAATAAAATAAACAAGAATTGAGTTAATATTCTAAATTGTATAGAAATGCTCTAAAATCAGACACTTCATTCAAATTTTACAGAGAAATTAGAGAAATAAGTAGAGGGAAAAGTAAATAGGCATTTGAATAGTTAAAACTCTGAATTATATATAAATGCACTATAATCAGACTCTTCATTCAAATTTAAGCTAATTTCTTGCTAATGATATCTCCTGGGCATGCCTTAAAAGTAATCCGTGAATGGGAGATTTATCGCAGCAAAGACCTTTAAATGTTCTTGTATTATTTCAGGATGAATTGAGGAGATAGAGAGGCTGCGACAAGACAGCCTTAAAACACAAGGCGTAAAACACAAGACATAAAACACAAAACGCATGAAAAAAATCTAAAATCCAGCCATGGGTAAAAAACTAGATCTGGAAATGGAGTATTCTAGGAAGCGGCGACGAGAAAACCAACTTTTGTTCATCTACATATTTGTTGGATTATCACTTTTGATGGCATGGAAACTTGGAGAATATTCTTTCTCGATCATCTGGATTTTTGGATTAGTTGGTGTTGTTTTCGTAGTATGGTGGGCGAGAGTGCTTCGCCTTACAGAAGAACATCTAAAATTTTATGAGGTTTTACTACACCGCAAGAAAGCACTCGGGAGGAGTGAATCGGCTGAATGGCTGAATTTTGTTATAAACCGATGGTAAGCTAACCATTTTGTTTTGTTTGCATGAAAAATATTTTATTCGCCACCTGTCGGATCTCTCATATGTTTTAATGGTCATGTTCCAAATAAAACCTATGAAATAAAACACCCTATAAGTGGAACTGATCTCTCTAGTTAATAAGTAGCATTTATATATGATGTTTATATTCAATGTAGCACATTCTTACCTGCAACTTTGCCAACTTGCCAAAAGGATAATTGTATATTAGCCAGATAAGAACTTGGAACATATACTGAATCATTATTTTGTTAACAAATGTTCTAAGGATGGCTGACGTGAGTTGAACTACATATGTATATTAGACACTGTATCAGTAAAATACATTTGATATGTCAAAATAGAAGGTGTTTCACTTATAGAGGTTCATTTACATTTAGTTTATTGGTAACGAATTTGAAGAGTTCTGCTTATGGAGAGATGATCCAGGGGCGGCTCTGGGAACCAACAAGGGGGTGCCCAAATTTCAAGTCTGATGAAATAATTATGGGCCCTTAAAACCAAAAAGTGGGCCCAAATTTTGAGGCTCATTTTCTTCAAAATTTGGCATTAAATTAAAACATAAGGCCTTAGAAGACCCAGTAGTGTCAAAAAGGCCCACTTATTGGGGTCTTAAGGCCAGTTTGTTCCACATAGAGGTGTTTCATTTTAAAGGTTTTACTACATGACCATTAATGACTTTTAAATTAAGGTCAGCTAATAAGGGTCTATTGTTTATTATATAATTTAGGCTTTCCTCGTTATATAATTCGTGCAACCTGTCAAAAGAATCAGTCCTAATGGATATGGATTTAGTGGCTCTCCCTCCTTGATGTCATTGTTAGAGCTGACAGCCTTCTTTCAGTTTTTTTTACTCCAGACATTGCTCATTAATAATCAGAAAGATGTGATCATAACCAGCTATACCTTGATGTACATCTGTATGTTCAACTTCAAAGTGTATGATTGACTGAAAGCTGTAGGGGCCAAATAATTTTTCTAATGTCAGTTCTGTTTTGATACTGATTGTCCCAAAATGGATAACCAGTATGTGCCAAAGAACCAAAGTGAATACTGTAGTTCTAAAATCAACAAATGAAAAGTGCAGTAAAAGTCAAAAAGGAGTCAAAATGGCTTGAATTAATTTTAAACCAAGATTGAAGAGATTTGCATTATGAAATCTTTCGTGTATTCCACAGAGCCTTTCTTCAATTATTTTAACAACACCGATTCTGTCATCGCAGTCAGCATAAATAACAAACACATCACTGTGTGATTCCAACAGTGCACAGCTCCCAAAAGAGGTTATCCTCCCATTTATTTATGTTATGTAATTATACTTTTTCTGTGGCATTGCTTTATACTGACATATTGGAACTTTTCGTAAATGTTTTAGATCTATAGGGACACTCTGACACATCTTGCTTGATCTATGACATTGAATCATTGATAATGGCTGTGGTGAGATTTTATGTTTGAGTTTTCATAAATATTCTGTATAATCATAGTTTTCCTTGCAAATTTTTTGGTGAACAAGGGCATATTAAAAAGGCTCCATGAAAACAATATTAGGGGCAAATCAAAAAAATCAAAATACTATAGCTAACTTTCAGCAAAATTAACAGTATACAAGTTTCATTTAAAGTATACAACCTTTAACTGAAGTACATTACCTTAAATTGAAATATACAACACTGAACTTAAGTACACAACTTTTAATTACACAACATTGAACTGGAGTACACAACCTTTCATTGAAGTACATAGCCTATAGTTGAAGTTTACAACCTTTAACCAAAGTATACAATCTTTAACTGAATCACACAACATCGGATTGAAGTATACAACCTAATTAATTGAAGTACACAACCTTGAACTGAAGTATACAACCTTAAACTGAAGTATACAATCTTAAATTGAAGTATACAGCCTGTGACTAAAGTATACAATCTTAAATTGAAGTGGACAACCTTTAGCTTAAGTATACAGTCTTAATTGAAGTGTACAACCTTTAATAAATTGAAGTACAAAACCTTTAACTCAAGTATACAGTCTTAAATTGAAGTATACAACCTGTAACTGAAGCATACAATCTTAAATTGAAGGACACAACCTTTAACTTAAGTATACAGTTTTAATTAAAGTATACAACCTTTAATAAATTGAAGTACACAACCTTTAACCGAAGTACTGTGGATTTAACTGTAGCTGTTTTATTAGTCTTGAATCAATACTGGAAATATCTTTTTATACATTTTGTGGAATTTTTTTTATTTCTGACATTTGATGGCTACAGGGTGTTCAAAAAAATGCAACCCAAAGAAATAGCTATATCTTGAAAAATACTGGTTCAATTATGTTCATATTTTCAGGAACTAAAGAAGAGACTGTGTATGTATAGCTCCTGTAAATGGTTATTTGTAAAACATGATGCCTTGGACACCTGCTCAAAAGACAGTTGTACTAGGAAAATATGAAAAACGCAGTCAGGGGTGACTGCAACCTCAAAAAAATTAAATAACTTTCTAACGATAGTGTTTTGGCTCTTCAAATTTGGCACAAATCATCTTCATTCACTGTATGGTAAATCTGTAGAGTGAAATCAAAATCACTTCAGGGACTTTACAGTCATGGTTGAAATGCTTTCAAATCGCAGTCAAATGCCCTGGTTCAGGGAGACTTAAGAAGGCATTTTGACCATGACTGTAAAGTCCCTGGAGTGATTTTGATGAAACTCCACAAATTCACCACACATTGAATGAGGATAATTTGTGCAAAATCTGAAGTGCCAAAACACCATGGTTAGAAAGTTAATTTGGTTTTATTGCTGTGGCTGTCACCTCAGACTGCGTTTTCATGTTTTCCTAGAACAACTGTCATTTGAGCAGGTGTCCAAGGCATCATGTTTTACAACTTACTGACAACAGGAGCTATACATACACAGTCTCTTCTTTCTTTTCCTGAAAAAATTAACATATAAATTGAATTAGTATTTTCCAAGATATAGTGATTTTCCATTCGCGTTTTTCGTATTTTGCTAGTACAATTGTCTTTTGAGCAAGTGTCCAAGACATCATGTTTTACAACTAACTTACAACAGGGGCTATACATACACAGTCCTTTCTTTCCTGAAAATATGAACATAATTTGATGAGTATTTTCCAAGATATAGCGATTTCCTTGGGTTGCGTTTTTTTGAACACCCTGTATTTAGTGTACAAGTTCTATTTATGTATTTTTACACATCAGTTCAGTTACACAATCTTGTTAAGATAAACCCTTTCTAGTACTTTACATTACTGGTAAGAGATATTTATTTTAATTTTGAAGGTGAATATTATTGTTTCATAATTGGGTACATATCCTCGTTCATTCTGTGCCATCCTCACATCTACCCGCAAAGTGTTGCAGCTCTCCTCCTTTGACCTACCACACTTTTCCTCTTTCATCTTTACATCTTTAACCTTCTGCACTCCGACTTATTTCAGCAAATATATCCCACGCATCTGACTTATTTTTCAAAAATGATATGCCTGGACTAAATAATTAATATCTCAATAACTACTGAATGAATCTGGATAAAATTTTCACAAAGGGAAGATACACTAGCGTGGCTCATGAGAAAAATGTTCTCATGAATTTTTTTCGTACATAAACACGACTGGGCTTGAATATACCATGAATACTCCTCCAGAATCCGCCGTTTCGCCCCTCGGGAGATTCAACGTCTGGTCAGAATCCAAAACTGAATTTGCAGAGATCGAATGTTCTTCTTTTCAGTTCAGAAAATATTCTAGTTTCTATTTTCGATGACCATTATCGGCTTCCAAGAGCCTAAAGAGCTCGAAATCGCAATCCATTTCCTCCACATTTTCGTTGTGATCGTATTTGGCCGTCATTTTGTACGATTTGTTCACTAAAAACGACTTAAACACTGTTGAATTGTTGAATTGAGAAATATTTTTCGAAACATCGCCATTTCTAGGTCAACAGGAAGTCACCTACTAAGGACTGAATAAATCGGGCAATCTAATTGGATCATAAGAACGGCGGGAAAAAGTAAAGTTTTCAAAAGTTAGATTTGTGTCGTCCAGATCCGCCGGTGGATTCTGGGGGTAGTTTTGAATGGGCGGACGCGGCCGCCGGTGGTCTGCTAAAGGTTAAGACTACCATCAAAAACTTAAATGCAGACTGTTTGAAATTCAGTAGTTGTTTTCACAAAATTGCCTGTTGTTTTTGGGGACAATTTTCCATGTTTAATTTTTGATTTCCATTAATTCTGCCTATTAGTTAGTGAGGTAGCACCGAAAAATGTACCTGCTTCTGAACAAATTGAAATTACTTGTTTCTTATGTATTTTTATGTGATACTTCAGAAAATTTTTGTCTGATGCGCCGTATCCGGGGCGAAAGTTGTCAAAATTGGGTTTTTGGCCCTAAAAAGGAAAATTACAGGGGGTACATTATCATCATTGAATAATTCATTCAGTTGGTCTTCAATCATCATAATAATTTTATGGAGAGTTGATGAGATCATTTTAAGGTAGTATGCAAAGTTTCAATGGTCTGTCACTCGTGGTTGCCATGGAAACCACAATTTTTGCTCAGAAAATCCTTAATTTTGGTAAAACCTGTACCTGTACATAATATAGAATGTGGATTATTTTTCAAATCAACAGATATCAGAACATTTTAGCATTTTCAAAATTACCAGGGCAGTTCAAACATTTATTTAAATATAAAGGATATTGCAATTAACATAACTGGGGAGTGTCAAAGACCATACAATTACATAAGTGATCAAAAGTGGGCGTCGCCCTTATCATAGTAGATGATTGCCATTCTCTAAAAATACAGAGTTTTACTTGACTTTTGAGATACATTTATAATGATGTTCTTTGGTTATACTAAATATGAAGCATTTTTGGTAAATAATGTACATGTAAGTATTATACTTATTGCATTGGGGAGGGGGTAGATGGGGAGGGGGGGGTGTAACA